ATTCTAGGTTGGAGGCAAAGCTCTTCCAGTGTGTGGGGCTCAGGATTCAATCTGCTGCTGCACTGCAGAGAGGGTGTGTTGTAATTTATTTTAAAACGCAGTGAAGTCACATCATGCAACAAGGCTCACATAGGAGGTTTTTTGTTTATTTATTTGGTTTGAGACTGGGGTTCTCTGTGTAGGTTTGGAGCCTGTTGTGGAACTCACTCTGTAGACCAGGCTGGCCTCGAACTCACAGAGATCCACCTGCCTTTGTGTCCTGAGTGCTGGGATTAAAGACATGTGCTGCCACCACCACTACGAGTCAGGAAGTTTAATTGAAGAGAGAGAAGGAGCAGGGAAAGGGGCTGAGAGGGGGCAGAGACCGGTCCCTGGGGGCAAGTGTGGTGAAAGAGAGAGAGAGAAAAGGAGATAGAGGGGAGGGAAAGGAAGAAAAAGATGGAGGTGGGCAAGACCACCTTTTAAAAGGGAATGTATTGAATGTGCACAAGGGATGCCCTTAGTGACTGCAGCAGAGGAAGTATCCTGTCAGGACCCCAAGAGCAGGCCAGTACAGATGCCTGAATACTAACAGAGAGACAGAGGGAGAAGGGTGTCTATGCATCCAAGAGAATCACGATTAGAGAGAGCTTTCTTCCAGGATGGGAGGTAAGGCTGCAGCTACTCTAGCATCTACAGAGAAGAACTTCCCCAAGTGGATGATAAGAGGCAGGAACAATGGCGAGCTAAAGCACTGCCTGGGAACCTCACAACCCAGCTAACCTAAGCAGTGACACAGACCAGGGTCACACTATTGTCATGGTCAATTTGAAAATCAACAGCTACAGATTAAACCTGCAACAGGTGTGACTCTGGATTGCCAACTCAGCAGGGACAGTCAGCCAACATCAGGGTGGATAATAGGTCATCCATGTTCTCTACACTCCGCCACTGCTGGAAGACAGTTCCAGACTATCTCCCTGGGCTGAGGAGATGCAAACTGATGACCCAGAAATTCCATTCCTAGGTCAACAAATACTCCAGAGGAATGCAAACTCAGGCACACACGCCCAAAAGTCCCAAAGGTCAGACATAAGCCCAAAGCCCACTGTGAGTAGAATGGATAAATGAAGGCAGTACATTCACACAAAGGAATTCCCTCCTGGCCGGGGAATGTGAGAACAGGACTGGTGTGACACAGGAGTTCCACAGACAGGACGTGGACAGAGAGATACTTTTGTCACAAAGAGTATGTGCAGTGTAATTGTTAGTATAATGTTCAAAAGCTGTCGTCAACATTGTAAAACTACAAAGCACAAGGAAGTGATTGATGCTGAGGGGAAGGGAAGGAATAGAGTTGGGAGAGGCCCCAGGGAGGCAGTAACTTTGTGATAGGCAGATGCCATAGGACTAGTGACCCAACCATATATGCATGCAGATTTTACTCCACATGTTTTCCATGTCCTGAACATGCCTGTTCTGTAATAGTCCTTTGGGCCAGAAGCTGGGCTACCTCTCCAGTTCCCTATATCCGATCTTGATCTGGCAGGGCCTGTTTGGGACCTGGAGCATGCATCCACACCTGGCCCTTGTTGAGTGAATGACTGAGGATAGATGCAGGGCTGAGGGAAAGGGCCTTATTGTGGCTGTGAGAACTCCTGCCAGTGCTGATCTTCTGCCAAATCTTGAGTGAGAAATGTCTTTGCCACACGCACCACTGCTGCAACCTGACAAGAGGCTCTTGGCTGTGCTGCTGTCCAGATGTGGAAGTAGCCCTCTGAATGTCAAGCCCGGTCTCCCTGTAACCTCACTGGGGAGACCCCTAGTATATCTGTGCATCCCTGTGGCAGGAAGCAGACTCTAACAGTCTCAGATCTCTTGGTAGTTGCTTCCATTCTCAGGGCTGACCCCTAAGTGGCCATCTACTGAAAATCCCAGTCAGATGTCCCATCACATTTCTGCTTAATGACTTCTGCTATGCATGAGAGTCCCAGGACAGACTATGCAGACTAAAGGGAGTCTGGCCAGGAACCTATGCCCCACTGCATCTCAGCACTTAAAGGTCCTTCTTAATCCTTAATTCTTGCCCCAAACTCTGAGCCGCCCTAGAAGTTAATGTTACATTGTGTCTTCTCAGTAGAGACCTGTTCTGCGTTAGAAAGGAGCCATGTTAATGGTGCTTCAGTCAGGAACCAAGTCACACCTGCGTGCCCATCACTGTGAGCTACTTTCTCATCGGTGCCTTGTAGGTGACCTCAGAGCAGAGCTGGGAGGCAGGCCCACCCATATGAGTGTGAGGTGTGAGATGCCACCGGGTGGAACAGAACTTCCGATGCCTGGTACGGGATCCCCTGTAAGGAAGCGGAAGCGAGCTACAGGCCATGGTGTAATACAATTGCTGGTGCCTAGCAGGGACTGACCTCCTTTGTTACTTTGTTACATTGCTTTGACACACAGAAATGGCCTAAAACAGAGCAGTGAATTGTAAACGGGCCTCAAGAGTGGAGATCTTGGCACAGCTGGCCAAGTGCTGGCCTTGCACCTATGTTCAGATCCTGGAATCCACCCACAATTATACAAAGCTATCCTCTGGCCTCTACAGGTGCACACAGAGACCCACACATACACATCACACACACATAATAACAATATAAAACTGAAAGGAATGAGGATCTTGAGCTAGGATGTGGCTCAGTAGGTAGAGTACTTGACCAGCACATATAAAGCCCTGCGTTCCAGGCCCAGGACCACATAAAACCATGCCTATAATCCCATTACTCCAGAAGTTCAAGGTCATCCTCAGCTACACAGAGAGGGTTGGGCCAGTTCGGGCTAGAGTTCCTCCTATCAAAAAGCAAAACCAAAAACAAAACATTAAAAAAAAAGTGTAAAAAGTGTCAGGCTCCAGGTAGGAGCAGGGGGCAGGGACAGAAGGCAGGGAGGGATGAGAACCTGAGAACCTACAGGGTATTCAGCCTCTAGCCTAGAGAAGATCTCCTGAAATGGGTTCAAATCCTGCCTTACCCTGGAGAAATGGCCTCATCCTTAATTTCATCTGTGAATCTGTAAAGTGGGGTGTGGACAAGCCCTTACCAGATGTCCCTGAGCAGAGTGGCCCACGCTGCTGCCTGCTTGAGCTGTTGCAGCCCCTACCTGTGCAAGCAGCATGACCCATCATTATTCCACTATAGCATGACCTTCCTGGGGCCTCATAAAGTCACTCCTGTCATCTGAAAAGCAGCCTGCAGTGTCTAGCTTCGCTACTGGTGTCATAATGAGGCCCTTTCTTTGCTGAGCCCCGGGCTGCCTGGGACAGGAAGGCAGCCCTAGTGGAGGACAGATTTCCCAAGGGAACAGTGACAGGCCACTGTTCCCCCCACCCACCCAGGGCCCTGACTGTGGTGAGCAGCCAGAGCCAAAGTAACTGCAGCTTTGGAAGTGAGACTCACATAGAAAAGACCTAAATAGCTATCTCCTCGGGGGAGGCTGGGAGCGGGGGAGGGCAAACTCTCACAGAAACGTCAACTTTTTTAAAAATATGTTTTCAGTAATTGCTGTTCTGTGTCAAGTTTCAGCCTGGTGGGAGTTTCCTGTCAGAATTACAAAGTAGGTGTTCCTAACAGACAAGATAATCACCCCTGTGTAGGGGCGAGATGCTGAGCACTGATCTGGATCCCGGTGCCCAGGTGAGGTGCCTCCTGGGTCTGCTAGAAAGGGCTCTGCAGGGGCAGAGGAGGCAGACTGCACCGAAAGTGGAGGATGCAGGCCCACCCCAGTCCCTTCAGGACTGCCTTGCCTGTGTCCTCAGCATCCTAGCAGAGGAGGGATGTGTGTTCCGAGAGGCCAGGAGGGGCCTTCTCTCCCCACCCCATCATGCTCCTCTCAACAACAGCAGAGTTTCCCAGCCTAAGGTTAAAGAAGTCACTCATTGTCTAGTCTCCGTCTTACTGTCACTGGGGACTTTGGGATTTTGTTGTTTTGTCTTACTTAGATTTACTTTTACGTGTATAAATGTTTTGCTTGCATGAATGTCTGTACACTAGGTGCTTTCCTGGTACCCAAAGAAGTTGGAAGAAGTCATGAATTCCTAGAACCTGAATTACAGATGGTTTGGAGCCATCATGTGGGTGCTGGGAATTGAACCCTGGTCTTCTGCAAGAACAGCCAGCGCTCTTAACCACTAAGGCATATCTCCAGCCTTGGAGATATTGGGGGATTTGTTTGTTTGTTTGTTGTTTGTTTGTTTGTTTTTGTTACAGGATACAGGACCTCACTGGGTAGTTCTGGCTGGCCAGGATCTCACTGTGTAGATCAAGCTGGCCTTAAGTTCACAGAAATCAGCTGCCTCTGGAGTGCCAGCATTAAAGGCATGCACCACCATGCCCAGTATGGCAAGTTGTTTCTGAGAAAATGCAGCATATACTGTAACAAACTTGAAACAAGAGAGGAATTTATCATTCACCCCACCATCTATAAATCTACCTATCTACCTACCCACCCTCTTATGGATCCATCTATGTGTCCACTTACCTATCATCTCTTCCTCTCTCTATCCACCTACCCGTCCATCCATCCATCTATCCATCCATTCATCTGTTCACCCATGAATCCATCCATGAATTCAGCTATATACTCATCCATCCATTTATCCATCCAGCTCTCATCTCTCAACCAGCTCTCCATCTATACATTCATTTATCTACTCATCCATCCACTCATTTATCCCTCATATCCCTTTTCTGAGCAACAGGAAACAGCTATAGAAACACAATCCCTGCCCTCAGAGAACACACGAGCTAGGAGAAGGAAGTCCCAGAGGATGATACATAAGGAACAGCCATACAGTCTACAGCGCGGTTGTGGGAGAGGAGTGGGTAGCTTGCTGTTCAACATCAGAGGAGATCGGATCAGGGTTTCAGAGGCAGCACCCAGGTGAGACTTGAAATCAAGGATCATAAACGTAGGAGTGCCGGAGAGAGTGAAGCTTTTGTATTATAGGTTTTAGGTTGTTTGGTTGTTTCTTAAATATGGAACACTTCATGGATTTGCATGTCATCCTTGTACAGAGGTCATGCTAATCTTCTCCGTATTGTTCCAATTTTAGTATCTGTGCTGCTGAATCGAGCACTTGGGTTTGTTGTTGTTGTTGTTGGTTTGTTTCATTGCTGCTATTGGTTTTGTTTTAATATTAGTTTCTTTGAGTCATAGTTTTCCTTTATAGCCCAAACTAGCCTGAAACTCACTCTTGTAGTCCGGGCTGCTCTCAAACTCATGATCCTACCACTTCAGCCACCCGAGATCTGGGGTTACAAATGTGCACCTCTACCCCTGGCTTGTCTTTGAAAGACAAGACAGTGCCCATTTCCAGCTATAACAGGGTCAAGGGAGAGCCCAAAGGTTGGCTGGTACTGTTCGTGGCAGGTCATGAGGGATGTGAGAATTGTGGAGTACCACATGTCACATATTGTTCATTATTGGCAAGCACCGGGGGTGGGGTAATAAGGGGTCTGAGGAGACATACAGAACTGTGTGAGATAAGGGGTAACTTTGGGGACCTTTACTTGACACACAGAGGGAGTAAAATCGTAGAAATATTAGTCCCAGGATCTGGAGCGGCCAGTGGCAGGAAGCAGAGAAAATCCTGGGTTTTGCCCCTGGAGGCCAGGTGAGAACAGTTTTGTCTCCAGGATGCTCTTGGAGTCCTGGCAGAAGGATGGGAGCTGGAGAGGATGCTCAAGAACTGAGTCTCACATGTCTCCAGATGATGGAACTGGCAAAGGATAGAAATGGTTCTAGTGTGTGTCTAGATGCCTTTCTGCCTGCCAGAGTACCCACTCCCAGCTGCTCCCAGCTGTCCCCCTTGGGAACTGCGTTGGCCAAATAGGAATAGTCTAATCCTTCCCCATAACCCAGGGGTATGACATACCTGTGGCCCTGGCCTTGAGGTGGGCTGACTGGGAGGTGGGTTTGAGTCTCCTGAACTCCTATGTGATTAGACTGAAGCTGTGTGGGTCACAACCTGGAAGTTCTTTTTACTTGTCTTCGCTCTTTGCTCCTTCCTCTCCCTCTCTTCCTCCCTCTCCCTCCCTCTCTCTTTCCCCCTCCCCCTCCCTCCCTCTCTCTCCCCCCTCCCTCCCTCTCTCTCCCCCCTCTCCCTCCCTCTCCCTCCCTCTCTCTCCCCCCTCTCCCTCCCTCTCTCTCCCTCCCTCTCTCTTCCCCCCTCTCCCTCCCTCTCTCCCTCCCTCTCCCTCCCTCCCTCGCTCTTCCCCCTCCCTCCCTCTCTCCCTCCCTCTCTCCCTCTCTCTCCCTCCCTCTCCCTCCCTCTCTCTTCCCCCTCTCCCTCCCTCTCTCTTCCCCCTCTCCCTCCCTCTCCCTCTCTCTTCCCCCCCCTCCCTCCCTCTCTCCCTCCCTCTCTCTTCCTCCCTCTCTCTTTCCCCCTCTCCCTCCCTCTTTCTTCCCCCCTCTCCCTCCCTCTCTCTCTTTCTTTTTGGGGAGAAATGGGTGGTGACTATTCAGCTTTCCAGTAAGGAGCTGGAGGTTAACTTGGGCATTCTTTCTTAAGGTTTAAAAACACAGACTAATAGCAATGGCCGTATTTGATCTGTTTGTACCTTCAATCAACTCTATCAGCTCAAGCTCCCATTACCACCCTTGGGGATTCCTCTTACCTCTCCCTCCAATATTTTCCATATTGAGTCTGGCACTTGTCTGCCTGTGTTTGATTTATTTTCCTACTTTGGTAGAGCATCTGTGTCTGAAATGCATTTAGTAATAGTAACCTTATCTCATGAAGTTCTTTCACACTTAATAGTTTGGCTGAGTATAACATTCTAGGTCAGAAGTCATTTTTCTTCTAAATATGAAGCCATTGAACTTCTTGTCTTTCTTTCTCTTAAAGACAGAGTCGCATGTTGTCCAGGTTATCCTCAGACTCACTCTGTAGCTCAGGATATCCTTGAGGATATCCTTTATGATCCTCTTGTTTCAACTTCCCAAGTGCTGGATTACAGCTTCTTCCTGTATGGTGCATGCCAGGCAAACACTTTAACAACTAAATTCCTGCCCCTCACCCATTGCCTTTCTATTTTAAGTACTGTTATTGGTGTAAGACCCTCAGAATGAGGAGTCTTCCAGGTTCGGTCGATACCCCAAGAACTCAATGTCCAGTCCAGTTGATGCAAAACGCAAGAGGCTTTAATGAACAGGAAACGTTTGCGCAAATGGGCTCCTCCAGCACGCAGGCTAGAGAGAAGCCCCCTCCCCTGGGCCCAGGTGTTTTTAAAGGCAAACCCACAAGCTTAGGGAGGGGGTGGGACCCTCTGTCCATTGAGTATGTGACCCTTGGAGGCCCCGATGGTCTGCTATTAGGGTCAGCAGACCTTAGGGCCTCAGGGTATGCTAATTAATCTTGTCTGGGCAAACCAGAGTTACAGCTACCTCTTGTTTCCTAAGGACCCTATTTACCACCTGTTGACTCACAGGAAAGGAGGGGCAGTGTGAATTCTTCTTATCTCAGGGCCTTTGAGAGGAAGCTAGCAAATTCCAAGGAACAGATATTGGTTTCCAGGTTAGTCCATCATTAACATTACTTTTTAGGTCTTTCATTTGGGAAACCTAAAGACAGTTTATAACCTTCTATTTATTTTTCTCTTTTAAAAAGGCTTGTAAAATCTTTTTGCCTCCTACATTGCAGACTTTCACAGTAACATGCCTGGCTGTACGGTTTATTTTCACTCATTCTAAGAGTCACCCCATGGGCTCTGATCATCCCTTTTGGATCTAGATATTGTCTTAAATTATTAATTTTGTAGTTTCCTAGTTCCCATTTCCTCTGTGCTTTCTTGGGGGTAGGTAGGTGCAAACATTCTAGGGGGCACACATGTGGCCATCAGAGAACAACTTATGGATGGTTCTCTCTTTCCACAGTGTGGATCCCAGGGTTTAAACTCAGGTAGCATGGCTTGGTGGCAAGCACCCTTACCTCCTGGGTCATCTCACTGACCCTCTGTGCTTTCTGGAACTCCTGATAATCAAATAATAGGTCTCAGATTGGAAATAATTTTTTCTTCCTGTTGATCATCTCCTTGTAACTTTCACCCACTTTCTCAGAGTTTTCTTCAATAATTATTTAGTTTTTAATTTCTGCTCTCAGTTTGTGGGTTGACAGCAATGTTTTATACATTCCACATAGTTATGTGTCATATACATCTATGATTATGTGTGTGAATTCATTCCACATTCTAGTAGTTTCTGTTGTCTCTTTAAGGATAACATTTCTTCCCATTTTCCTTCACTGTGTTTTATCTCCTATTTCCAGTTTGATTGCTTGTTTGATTGTTTGTTTGTTTGCATTGCTCAGGGCCAAAGCCCAGGCATGTAAGGCTCCTGCTTTGACCTTGCTACAGCCCTACATTCCTCTTTTCTGTTCCCTCCAGTTGCTTTTCTACAGTGTCTGTTTCTGTCTTTCCAACTAGGAGCATCCTCCATCTTTAGGCATCCTAACCTGACTGCACAGGGTAAAGAGTGTGACATTTAAAGGCCTCTCCTTTCAGAACTGCTACACACCATTCCCAGCCTACAGCACAACCAGGGGGATCCCAGCAGGGAACCCTGAGCATGGGTAGCATAACTAGCCTATCAGCTGCCTCCCTCTGCCTGTGGGAGGCAGTCTTGGAAACTAGAGTGAAGGCGAGGAGCCTGCTCCAAACCACCACCTGGGGTGCATCAGCTAAGACAGGAGCAAGGGCAAGATGAACCTGCATTGTCAGGCTTGTTACAGTTACACTAATCTGAGCAAATAAGCAAGGGTAGCTAGTACATTAAACATTAACAGCGAGCAGCTGGGAGCCTGTGCTTCTTCACAAGAAGAGGACTAAGGTCTGGCTTTACACTCTTGTCTGAAGCAAGTGCCCTTAAGATCTTGGACAACAGGAAATAGAGAAGGATAGATCTCTGTGAACCTGGTCTACGTAGTCGAGTTCCAGGACTACCAAGTGAGATCCTGTTTTATCTCAAAAAAAAAAAAAAAAAAAAAAAAAAAAAAAAAAAAAGGGGGGGGGAACCAAAAAGCATCCAAACAAAAACAAACCCCCCTCCTTTTATCTGAAGGGGAGATATTTGAGGCCAGGCATAGTGGTGAGCACCTTTAATCCCAGCACTTGGGAAGCAGAGGCAGACAGATCCCTATGAGTTTGAGTCTACATAGTGAGTTCCAGGACAGCCAGAGCTACAAAGTGAGACCCTGTTCGAAAAACAAAACAAAACAAAAGACTCAGAAAACAAATGCCAACTTCAGCAAATCACCAGGGAACCCTTGCTGGGGAAACACAAGATACAGCTTAGAACTAAAAGATAATTTTTAAAAAAGCACTGGCTCCCCAAAAGCCCCCTCCTTTTGTCCTCTATGTCTCTCCCCACTGGAAACCCTTTCGGGTCATCTTCACCAAATGACACTTCTGTCTGTCTCTCTTGGGCCCCAAATGGTGCTCATGCCTGTACCAGACCCTAGGATATTCAGCACCAGGCTGTCTCCAGGCCAGGCCACGCCCCTAACAGTCTGGACACGCCTCATTCTGTCCACTGGATTTTCTTTAGGGCTGCAGGTGGGAAGAGATTAGGCCGGTGCATAAAGTCTTTCAAACGGAAACGGCGCTGAGGGGAAGTGTCTGGAATGTGTCCCAAAGACTAAGCTAAGATAGCTGCTCCCGGATTTAATGAATGGTAAAACCCTCTCCCGCCGCGCTTCTTGCGCGATTACATGAAGAGTGGGGCCGTGTAAGAGGGCGCAGATGAGACGGAGCAGCCCCAGTTTGACCTCAGGGCCCGACTTTGCCAGCTTCGGCTCCTTGGAGGAGCCCAGGAGCCCTGCTGGCAGGCTCTGCAGGCCGCAGCTCCTAGCCGAGAGCACAGAAATACGCTGGGACCATTGCTCTGGGCAGGTGGTAGGCGGGGCGGAGCCAGGAGATGGGGTCAGAGACCGAGAGGAGGGCAGTCATAGGGGCGGGGCTTGGAGGCGGGGTCTGGAGGTGGGCCCGTCTGGTGGGCGGGGCTACAGGTGGGCGGTCCTACAGACCAGGCCTGTCAGTCGGCGAGCCCCTGGCTCTGCAGAAGAAGATGGCGCCGCGAAGAGAGATGGTCTCTGTGCTGCCTCGGCTCCAGCTGTTGGTGCTGCCGCTGCTGCTCGTGTCCCAGCTCATCTCCGGCCATGGCGGCAAGTACTCCCGGGAGAAGAACGAGCCCGAGATGGCCGCCAAGCGCCAGCCCGGGGAGGAGTTCCGCATGGAGAAGCTGAACCAGCTATGGGAGAAGGCCCAGCGGGTGAGTGGGGCCGGGAAGATGCAAGGGGCTGAGGGTGAGAAGCTGCTTGTGAGCAAAGGAGAGCGGCCCCCTGGTCAAGAATCCGGAGTGGCCTCTGGGCTAGAGGCTTACACCTTTTACTGCCTTCCCCCCGTGTCAGGTGGGCCACCCTGACCTTGCAATAAGGAGGCCCAAGAGGAACTTGGTGCTGGTCCTACGGTGGCTGTGGTTGCCTTTAGTGTGGCTGGGAACCCCAAATGAGTAATGCCTACCCTTCTTCATAGCTGTGCACAAGAGATCAACTCTGTCCAGAAAGTCAGTTTTCCAAAGAGCCAGTTATTTAGATGGAGGTAGCCAGGTGCTTGGGTCTGCATGGGGTCTGGGTTACAAGCCTTTTCTTTTATCTGTATTTCCCCTTATTGAAAGAAGAAAAGCAGATGACCTGAGATGTGACCATACAGGAACAACAGAATTCTCAGTTGCTAAGGGAGCTGGTTAATTTGGCTGAAGCCTTTCCCAAGGTGTGGGGGGGGGGGGGGCGGAAAGGGGGTTGACACTACACAGTAGGTAGACACTGCACAAGAATGCCTACCAGATTTAGCAGATAACTTTATCTGATTCCTTCCTTTTGGAATGGAGTTAGCAAGAGCCTGAGGGCTGGCCTGGAACTTGGGTCCCCCTCCCTGACTGTGATCAATCCTCCATCAGCACTCAGGCTTTTGTTTTGGTATTTATACATAAACCCTCCAGGCCACAGTATCTTCCTCCCTAGCTTGAAGAGGGTCGCCCTTTAACCCTCCAGCTTGAACATTCCTGAGTTTGGGAGGATAGTAAATAATTTGCAAACTAAGAGCGAGTTTTAAAGAAAACAGTGGAGAAACTTTGGCCCCCGGGATGATTAAGATGGAGAGGTAGTTGGGAGGTTGGCTTCTGGGCCTAGGGGAGTCAAAGATTGTTGGGGAAATGCAATCTGGTGCCTATAGATCCTGGGATCCCCTTTTGCTCAGAAGCTGGCCCCAAGTCCTCCACCTGCATGTCCAGGTGACTTTCTCAGACCTTCTGGCAAGTCACCTGTCATTATTCTGTGCCTGTATGGTCCCTGGGTTCTTCCCTGGTTATGTCTTTCCTGATCATCCACAGTTCCTTGTCTGCCCTGATTGGCTGCTCTCCTCATCCTGTCCAAGCCTTGGGCTGCTTGTCCTTCTAGCCCTCTAGTCTTACAGTTCTGCAATCAGGAGATTTTCTGCTCAACAGAGGACAGTCTTCCAGGTGGCTTCCCCTTTTAGGGTGATCTTGTGTCTACTCCCCACTCCCAAAGAGGCTAGGACACAGGTTGAGTGTTGCTGCTTTTCCTTCCAGTCATGGAGGCTTCTAGCTGGGTCCTAGCTGCTAGGTCACCTCTGCACCAGGTTCTTCCCTTTCGTGTAAACATTTGGAATTGGCCTTCTGTTCCTTCAGGGTGTGATAGCTATCAGTGCTGTCGTCTCCCACCCCTCCCCCACTGCTTTAGGTAGCCGTGGTCCTCACCTAGGCCCTTCCTGGGTTGCATTCTGTTAGGGGTTCTCAGTCAATGATCTCCCTCCATCATCCAGGGAGGTTCTATCTTTACACAGTCTGTGTTTCTTTGTTTCCCAAATGCAAAACTACATCGTAGTGAATGAAACATAGTTTGTCATACATGAAGCCGAAGAAAAACTATGGCGGGCGGAACTGATTGCCTCACCCCATTTCCAGCCACCTTTAAAAGAACCGAGAGGTCTGTCTTGAGGCTCCAGGGAGTGGAGTGGGCTGTGGGAGGGCTCTGCGGAGGTGTAGAACCCACTTCCATCTTGTGAGATTGAAACGGGGGGGGGGGGGTCACTGCTTTGTGCCAGTCTAGCCTTTCATGTCCTGACTATGGCATTACACAGTTCCTGTTACATAGACATGTTTGGGGTGAGCTGTGGGGGACTCGGGGCACATCCATCATGCCTTGATGCTGTGACAATGCCTAGTATGTTGCAAGATGAAGACTCCTGGGCAATGTGGAGAGCAGAGGACTGTCCTTGGATTTGGGGGTAGGGGAACCTCTGCAGGTTTGTTACACACTCCCAGAGACCCAGTTTTTCATTCTCTTAGAGATGCCATGTATTCAGATGACAGGAGTTGACTTCTCAGATCCCCAGAGAGTTCAGTCCCTCCTTATGATTTTTTTTTTTTTTTTTTTTTGAGACAGGATTCTTTGTGGTAGTATGACTAGTATGCACAAAGCCCTGAATCCAGGTCCTTTAAAAAAAAAATTAAGATTTTTATTGGGAAATTTTCTGTAAATTCAGTCTTCTACTCCGTGGTGGTTCTTCTCATGCTTCCTATAAAAATCTTCATTTCTTCACCAAGTGCAGCCCTTCCCTGGTGTATCCTTCAGCAGCTGCATAGCTCCTAGTGTCAAGAATGTGAAGGTGTGGTGGGTACCCTCCTGCAGGAGCCTGCAGACCGCTATGGGCTTCTTACTGGCCCTGGGACTCCAGACCTGGCCTCAGCTGTGCCTCTAGCTGAGTTGCTGACATAGAACCTCCAGCCCTGTCCACCCCAAACTCCTAGTTACACCCCCTTCTCCCAGGTCTTGTTGCCCATGTCTGTCACACAAAGGCTCGTCACATGTTACTCCTTTCTTTTTTAGCAGCTTCATCTGTCTCCCGTGAAGTTGGCCGAGCTCCACTCTGACCTGAAGATACAAGAGAGGGATGAACTCAACTGGAAGAAACTGAAGGTGGAAGGCTTGGACAAGGATGGGGAGAAAGAAGCAAAGCTGGTCCACAACCTCAATGGTACCTTCCTGTTCCCGCGGCGGTACAACCCTCAGCCCCAGGCCAAGTTAAGGGAGGGGGATATTGGGATACCAAGTGCAGCCTTCGATGTGGCTCATCTGAGGACAGCCGCCCTGGGTCAAAGTCTCTGATGCTTTCTGAATGTTGGGAGGGAATTGGGGCTGGGGACTTGACACATTGATGCCCAGGCAACCAAAGGCTCTGCAGCTGTTTGGCGAGGAATAGGATGTAGGATGCCCTCAGCCAGAAGAGAAAGCAGGTCTGATCTCAGAGTGGACTGTGCTGGCAAGGCAGGGTTGTGAGCTTCTTTTTGTTGTGGGTATTGAAGATACCCAAGCTCTCACATGCCCTATGCAGCATGCATACTTAGGAAAATACATAAGCTCCTTGAGCTAACACATCACTTCCCACATGACCTGGGCATGTGCTGCCTCTCATGGTAGTCCCTAACTGAGTACCCTTCAAGAGACACCACTGGAATGCAGGGTGGGTGGAGTTATAGTTGACTGGCACAAGCAACTGAACTGTACCAAGGGTACATACTGGAGGCTTCTTCAGAACTAGCCCTCAAAGTGCCTACCTCAGGCCTGATGCTAAATGTGGAGTTGGTCCCTCAGGAGAGGAGGCTAGGAGCTGCTAGAAGGAAGTAGGCAGCCAGCCAGCCAGCTCTGCAGGGATGGGACTGGGCTCAAAGATAGAAGAATGCAGACATTTCCAAGGAAGAGGGCTAGTGATCATTCTCTGCTAGTGTCCTGGGCAGGGAGTAAGTAGTTTCTTCCCGCTTGATAGATTCTGGCCCACAACTTAAGTAAGGCAAGGTGGCTTGGGCCATGCTTTCTTTTCAATAGTGTGGGTGGCCTGGCAGCACCCAACAGGACTTGAGGCTGACACTTCTAAGCTGTGGTCCATGGGGGTCCCTCTCTTCACTGCTCAAGTCATTGTTGGTGCTGGTCCCACACCCGGAGGACCAAAGTGTAGAGTGCAGACCCAGACCCTGGGGGTAAGACACACACACTGTTGGTATCACATGAGAGGTTAGGCCACCTAGCTATAACCAGCTCTACCCCAGGCTAGGCCAGATCCTAGTTTCACGGGAGCAGCCTCAGCTCTTGTGTAAAACCCCACATGAACTCAGCCCTGTGGAGCAGTGACCCTGCTGGTCTATCCAGGGCTACCTCACTTCCCTGGCTGGGCCTGGACACTGCAGAGAACTGTGTGAGACCTCTGTTAGCTCAGCTTTTTGAGATTCAATTTCAGACAGAGCATAGCACTCCAGGATCCAGGATCGTGCTCAGTTTTACTTTTGACAAGTCTTGAGCAAATTGTTTATAGGCCCCTAGTCTGACAGAGCTCTGCCCAAATTACCCTCCTGCTCAGGCACCATGGTTACTCAAGATGGACAATAGTGACAGCTCTTTTCCATGGTGGCAAGCAATGAGCAGGCTTGGGCTGGGCGCAAAGAGAAAGAGGCAGTCTCAGGCACTGGCTCTCTGAGGCTGAGAGGTATCTGAGCATACTGATTTTATTATGTTGCCCCAACTACCCCCAAACTCCAAGACTCAAGCAATTCTCCTGTCTAAACCTCCCAAGTAGCAGGGATTACAGGCACCAGCCGCTGTCCACTTATAAATAAAATAGCTTTGTACAGTCTAAGGGTCCAGATTGAGTCATAGTGTATGCACCCACACTGTCTGCCCAAGGATGCTTCCTGACCTGTCAGTAGAAGTGGCTTTCCATGGTCACTGAGAATGTTGAAGGCAGACTGTGACTGGAGCAAGGCCACGTGCTCACAAACTGGACAATGGAATGCATGGCTCACAGAATGTTATCCCAGGATCTGGGGATTCACGCTTCCAGACAGTGAGGTACCATAGTTCTTAGGCCTGGGGAAAGGGTAGATCTATCCCGCAAAGACAGGTACAAACTGAGCAACAGGGACACTTGCAGGGCTGGCTGTGACTGAAAGACCAAAGCAGAAGGAACGGGGTAGGGGCCGGGGTCTGCAGTATTAACCATGTGCCCACTGATCCATGAAGACCACAGTGCCAGGTGGGACTGGCCAATGAGAGTTGTGGGATGAAGGCTCCAAGAAAATGCTGGGATTCAGTGGGTCACCAGCTTGGATATGACAGGCAGGGTCACAGGTGAGGGACAGACATGAGCAGGCAAAACACAGGTGCACACAAAATATTAAAAATAACTAAATTATTTAAAAAACAAACACCTCTGCTCTAGTCATCTTGGCCAGGTACGGACTGGATGGGAGGAAGGACACCCAGATGGTGGACAGCAACTCACTCAACGAAGACACCGAGGATGAGCTGGGGGACCCCAGGCTGGAAAAGCTGTGGCACAAGGTACCACTTGCCTTTCCCTGCTTCTGAACTTGTGCCAGCCTACAGAGAGTTAAGGTGTGGGGCTATGGGGGGCTCTCTCTCCGCTGTCAACTTGCTGCCTGTCCTGCAGTGAATCCTGGTACATGGGAACCAACTCAGGCTGCTGGCTTCTGGCTTCTCCTTGACACATGATCTGTCTGTGCTATCCTGGTTGGTCAACAGAGCAATTAATTCCCCGCTGCTCCTAGCTGTCAGGATTGCAGGCATCAGGCAGGCTCTTGACTCTGTGTGTGTGTGTGTGTGTGTGTGTGTGTGTGTGTGTGTGTGACTAAATCACACAGGTATCAGGCCAGGCAGCTGCGTCTCTTTACTCTGCCTCTGGTTCTGGCCTGTGGTCCTGCTTCTGTGCTTAGGAAGAGGGTCCTCAGCTGTGTGCAGATGTTGGTTTGGATTCTTGGTGCTGTGATTGGGAAGGTGGGCAGCGCTGGGTCTGACCCATCTTTGGTCTGTAGACCTAAAGGAGCACAGGTGTGGGGTGGGAAATGGGACATGGCAGTGGTTCAGAGCCACAGGCTCACTTGGTCCTGCTCCTGGAGTAGCAGGGTTACACTGGCCTGATCCCTGCTGGACCATGGAGGTGGCCTTGCTGTCCTCACCATCCACACAGCCAAGAGAGTTAAGCGGATGTAGGTTCCTTCCTCGGGGCCCTTCCTCTCCCTTCTCTGGCCAGCCCTGTCAAATCTGGGATCATGACGGATAAGGGACACTGCCCATCAGGAGCTTCCAATTTGATTTTTGTTCCTGGTGAACCTAGTAGAGGGTCACAAGGCTTGCAGAGGACGAGAACAACCTTAGAGCAAGGATCCTGCTGACAGAGCCCTGAACTCCTTGGGGTGTGCTGATGACAAGACAGGCATGGCCACTCCAGGCTGTTTCCTCCTAGGCAAAGGCATCAGGGAAATTCTCCGGTGAAGAACTGGACAAGCTGTGGCGGGAGTTTCTGCACCACAAGGAGAAGGTCCACGAGTACAATGTGCTGCTAGACACACTGAGCAGAGCTGAAGGTGCGCCCAGGCCTACCTGAGCTCAGCGGTGTTCCCCGGTCCCCAAGGGTTATGGGTGGGGGCGGGTAGTCTCATGTTTCCACCCACGATCGTGAATGCAACCAGTCGTAATGCCAGTACAGCTGCACACATGAAAGGTTGCTTGTGGGGTCACTGAGGTACCCTGATGTAGCAAGCCACCTCTCTAGCACAAGCCAGTCACCATGATGTCTGACTGGTGTGACCTTGCCAAATAGGGGTCCTGAGAAAGCCAGAGCCATTGAGGGCCACGGAGGTCCCTGGGGCAGGCCTTCGGGTGCAGGTACTGAGGCATCTACCCTCAGATGTCTGTGTGAGAAAGCACCCCTCAGCCATCACTGAGGGGGGCAGAGGCATGGCCAGTGGGTGGACTCAGGGCCATCTTGGCCACAAGGACCCCAGGCCTGCAGGGGAAATCCTTATTGCGCATTGTGTGTCTTGTTCCACAGAAGGTTACGAGAACCTTCTCAGTCCCTCTGACATGAACCACATCAAGAGCGATGCCCTGAGCAGCAAGCACAGTGAGCTCAAGGACAGACTGAGGAGTATAAACCAGGGTCTAGACCGCCTGCGGAAGGTCAGCCACCAGGGCTACAGCCCCACCACCACCGGTAAGCCCTGTACCTCGAGTGCAGTTTGTGCCTGCTGATGCCCGGTGAGGAATTGTCTTCCTTCTTCTGGTTGAGGCAGGCAGACTGACAGGCACATGCTTAGGGGACAGGTACATGGACCCAGGAGTGCCCACCCTCGGCCCTTGTCTGTGTTAAAGAGTGGCCTGTCCTGGGCCCCACTTCCTGGAGCTGTGATTGATGTAAATGTCTGGGCTGGGAACTGGAGAGGTGGCTCAGTGATTAGAGCACTGGCCTCTCCCAGAGGCCCTGGGTTCTATCCCTGGCACTGACAGGGCAGCTCACAACCATCTATTACTCTGGTCCTAGGTGATCCAGTGCCCTCTTCTGGCCTCCATAGGCACCATGCCTGCGGTACATAGACACATGTGCAGGCAAAACATTCATACACATGAAAGTAAAGGGTAGTTTTTTTAAGTGTCTGGGCTGGCACTCAGCCCTATCACTGAAGTTGGCTTGCAGTGGTAGCAGAGTGGCCCTCCAGTTGGTGGTCCCATCCAGCCTGTCTTCAGCCTTGACAATCACACACAGGACTGTCCCCACCCCCATGCCAGTGGAGGCCAGCTTTGCCATTGATCTCGTGCTGGCCTTTGACCCTTATTTTAAGTAGGATGGCAGCTTCTGCTGCAGTGACCGTCCCATTCTCTCTGGACTTACAAAAGTGTTAGGGACAGGCTTGCCGTCCATCCTGGGGCTCCAGGCAGTGGGTGCCTAGTTTCATCCCTAAACACAGGGACAGTAGCCAGCAATGGACAAAGTCCTACTTGCACAGCCTTAGATGGCATGGGCCCAGGCAGAACCTCTTCCTGGGGCAGAACCTGCAAGGCCTTGCAGACTTGGCGTGCCCTTGTGGGGCTGGGTTTGAGGCCTTCTATGAAGTTTTGCACCCTATCCCAAGACTGCTTGCTGTGGAGGTGACCAATCTATCTTGTAGGTCAGTTGTGAGGTACTGTTGTTGGGTTAATGGGACTTTACAAAGGAGTCTGGCCATGGTCAATGTGCTGGGTGTCACCTCCATCTCTAACCACAATCTTGCCCTGTAGTTGAAGTGTTTCCTTTGGACCCCCAACCAGCTCCTAAATAAAGACAGAGACTACTTATTATTAATTATGAATGCTGGGTCTTAGCTTAGGCTTTTCCCACTAGCTCTTTTAACTTAATTTAACATATTTCTATTCATCCACATTTTGCCTAGGGGCTTTTACCTTCTGTGTGTCCTTTCTTTTTCCTCCATGTCTGTCTGGCTGGCCCCTGGTGTCTTTTTCTTTCTTCCTTCTTCCCCACCCTACCCCCAGCCTAAATTCCTCCTCCAACTTACTCTCCCTGCCCAGAACTCCTGCCTGATCTCCTTCCTCACTATTGGCCATTTTATTAGATCAATGAGATGCCTTAGGCAAGCAAGGTAAAACAGCAACACATCTTTACATAATTAAACAAATGCAACTTTACATAGTTAAATATTCTGCAACACCGCCCTCCATGGGCCATCTCCTAGGGAGCTGCATCCAGATAGTTCCTTAGTTCTCCCACTGGTCTGCCTATTCCTAATCCCTATCATCCCAGGAAAACCAGGGGTCCCTCGGGTACTAAACAGGAAGGGTGCTATGGAGGACTAGGATTTCTGCTGTGGCTTGGGGTAGCCTTGCTGGATGGCTGTTTACCCCAGAGGTGGGTTGACATCAAGGGATCATGGGAACTAGAAGGTGAATGGTCAAGCCCCATCCTTAACTCAGCGACACTCAGCCCTCCCCAATTCCCATCTGGTCTTCATGGCCCTATCACACTCCTGCTCGCTCTCTCTCTGTCACTTCAGAGGCAGCCAGGGGCATTCTGAGTTCAGGGGGCCATGACCCCTTCACAGTGGGCTCCATCTAAGCTGGTGCGGTTAGCACAGACCAGGCACACACACTATTCCCTCAGGCTGACAGGCCATGCAGGCCCCTAGCACCAGGGTGTGTCCTGCCATGCTACCTACCCAGACAGACAACGCTGGCTGTCTTGCAGAGTTTGAAGAGCCCCGAGTGCTAGATCTGTGGGACCTGGCCCAGACTGCCAACTTCACCGAGAAGGAACTGGAGTCATTCCGGGTAAGTGAACGGGAAGGTAAAGCCATGTCACCTCCTATTGTGGCCTCCATCTCTTCTGGGTCTCCGATGGGATCCAGCTCTCTCATACCTCAGTGCCTTCATCTTTTGTCCTGACTCTTTCCCTTCCTGCCCCTGGCCTCTGCAGCTCTTGGCATCCTGGCTGGCAGCCAAGTGGTGGGTAGCAGGTGGGCACACCCCTCCCAGGCCGGCGGTCTCAGTGTCCCCTGTGTCTGGCATCTGGTCCTGCTCAGCTGTGAGGGATGATGGCCAATGCGTGAGGGTTGTAATTTTTAAAAAACGCTCACAACAGGACTCACATAGGAGGTTCTATTGGAAGAAGAGAGAGAAGGAGCAGAAGAGGGAGGCGGAGACCGGTCCCTGGGGACGAGAGTGGTGGAAGAGAAAGAGAGAGAAGGAGGGAGAAAGAAAGAGGAGGTGGCAGGGCCCTTTTCAAAGGGAACATAGTGAGTGTGCACAGGTGGTGCTCTTAGTGGCTGCGGCTGAGGGTGTGTTCTGTCGGAACCCCAAGGCCAGGCCAGATGTGTGAACACTAACAGCGAGGTGTAGGTGGAGCTGCAGGAGGCCTGGAATAGTCTCTAAACTAAGCAGGATTGTTGATCGTTGCTGTTTAGGGCAGGGTGGGAGATGCTTGGGACCTGTATGGTTTGAGGCCCACAGGTTCAAGGCTCCTCCAGTGCATCTATGCTCAAGGAGCTCCAGGGGTGGGGCTTGTAGAGGTCGCCACTGAGCTCCCATAAGCACTGGACCCATGGGGTAAGAGGGAACAGGCAGGGGAGGTGCCAGCAGCAGACAGACTTTGAGAAGCAAAGGAGTCCTTGGGAGGCAGGACAGTGAAGTGGACGTGAGCCTGTCCTCATGGCGCTTGAGCTTTTGTGGCCCTGGGAAGAGACCTTGGAGCCCAAGGTCCAGGCTCCCTCAGTCATGACCTCATGAAGGCAGAAGATGGGGTGACCACCAGGAGCTGGGGTGATGGGCCTGTTGGAAGGAGAGAGCAGAGGGTACAGAGACCTGCGGTATGCTCATCCCTGGCCGTCAGCCTGATGATGGGCCCAGGAAGGAGCTGGAGGTCCAGGAGGCAGGGCTGCTGTTTGCAGAGCAACAGAGGTAACGTGTCTTGATGTGGTAGGTGGGAGCAGAGTCACATGGAAAAGGGCGAAGGTATCCAGGGATAAGAGTACAAAGGTCCCTGCTGCCGCCCGGGTCTGGTGGACAACCCTGGTTTGTAGCATGTAGCAGGTCTCAGATGTGCAGCCTGGTGCTTGCCAGCAGTAGTCAGGACCATTGCTGGACAAGAGGCAGGCACCCCGGGTCTCTGTGTTGGAGGAAACTAAGTTGTTGACACCTTCTAGGAGGAGCTCAAGCACTTTGAGGCCAAAATCGAAAAGCATAACCACTACCAGAAGCAGCTGGAAATTTCCCACCAGAAGCTGAAGCACGTGGAGAGCATCGGGGACCCCGAGCACATCAGCCGCAACAAGGAGAAGTATGTGCTGCTGGAGGAGAAGACCAAGGAGCTGGGCTACAAGGTGGGGTGTGCTATCCCTTCCACCACCGCCCCTGCCCTTGCACCCAGGCCTATTCAGCCCTACACTTGGATCTCAGATGCTCACTGACCTCCTGACTCAGGGAAACACAAATGCAGTCCCTGGGAACTCTGAGTGGCCAGGTGCTCAGCATGGCAGATGCTGGCTCTGCCAACAGACATGATGCCTGTAGACATGTAGGGAAGCAAGCATCTTGCAGCTGGGCACAGGGAGCTGTTTCCTGGCCTAATGAGGTCTGGGCTTGAATTCTAGGCTGGCCACACTGCAGGGTGACTGAAATGTCCTGCAGAGGTGGTGAGGTCACCAGGACCCCTTTTGGGAACAACCTCCGGGTTGCATTGAAGCTGAACAATGCAAACACTCAGAGGCACAAACTTCATGAGCCATCCCCACAGATTCCAGGAAGCCCCAAGGAACCAGCATCTTGCCTCCAAAAGGACCTGGGGTTCTAGCCAGCATGGGAGAGTCCCTCCTGTACCTTCTCAAGTTGAGCCATATGGTGGTAGCTGTGCAAAAATAAGTAAAATCTGAGAAGTGGCACAGACATACCAAGCCGTGCTATGTACGGCAGAATAGCAGGGGCCCAGAGCCCCAGTGCTCAGAGGCCATCGAGGTGGTTACTATAAGGATTTGGGGAGAGGGGACTCACAAGGCTAAAATCCAAGCACATTCTCAGCTGCCTCTGGCTGCCAAGGGACTTGAAGCAATGTGTGAGGGGCCCTGTGAATCTGAGCAACAGACCGGGGTTGCTGGGGCCACAGCAACTGACTCCAATGGAGGAGAGAATTCATTAAAACCGCAGATCAAGCCTGGCCCTGGCCCTGGCCCTGGCCGGGCAAGCCACTAAGGTTCTTGTTCAGAAATGGAGTAGTCTGTGAAGCTCTGCAGGCATCCACCACTGTGAGGAAGAGTTAACTGTCTTCACGGCCCACCACAGGGCCTCTTAAAAATAATAGGGCAGACAAATGGCACAGGGTCATTGTCTTTGGGGATGATCTGCTTCTGGTTTTTAGTATTCCTTGTGTTTTGGAGCCTTTACTTGTGACATGTTCTAGAAGGCTGTAATGGAAGGTGAGCCAGAGTGTTTAGTATTGGTTTTTAGCTGTCTCGTGTGATCTCTTGAAATGTCAGGCTTACCATGCCGCCCCCCACTGACAGGTGAAGAAACATCTGCAGGACCTGTCCAGCAGGGTCTCAAGAGCGCAGCACAATGAGCTCTGAGGACCAGGAGTCACCAGCAGCAGCAGTCCAGAGAGGCTCTTGAGGACCCCGGGAGCTGTCAGCATGTCACCTGCATGCATAGACCTGTGGTAACCAGTGTGGCTGACCACAGTGATGTGGCAAGGAGGATCTGTGGACACACTGGTATGATCCTGCTGTGTGTGGTCGGCAAGGACTTCTTTTCTCCCAAGCAAGTGTGGCTGCCCCCACCCTGGTTGAGGGCCTTGGGTACAGCTGCCAGTGAGATGTGACTGTTCTCCATGCTGCAGCAACACAGTTTACATTGGAATCGCCTAACTCTGTCACTGGAAATGTTATGTCCCAAGTCTTTAAATACACGGTGGGGTTTTGAGCCGTCCAGTCCTTGCCTGGTATCTCATGGATGGGTCTCCTTGAGTCAGCCAGCACCATGGTACAGTAAATTACAGATGAGAGGAGGGATAGGCTGGTCTTCCCCCTGAAGCATTTCCCTCAGGGCCCGATCCTCTCTCATGGTCCCAGACAACTGCTCTTCCCTCACCCTCTCTTCCTCTCCAGGGTCCTTGACCCCAGATGGGTGAGGTTTCAGGGCAAGGATGGCAGAGGTGAAAGGCAGCAGGTTTCAGGGAGGCGCATTTTTCTGCCTCCCAAAAATATCCTAATGGGCTTCTATGTCCAGACTCAGTATCTGATCCCTCACACAGGAGAATAGCCAAAATGACCTGTGACCCTGCAGCTGATCCTGGAAGATCAAGCTGTTGGGTTCAAGAGCATCCGGATCTCACCCTAACAGGAGTACACAGTTCAACTTGTTTATAAGAATATCAACGCTGGAGAAGTGGCTTAGTGAATAAAACGCTTGCTCTGCAAGCTTGGGGTCTAGAGTTCAAATCTACAGAACCATGTAAGTACCTTGTGGGCGTGTTGGCCCTGCTTATACCCCAGCACTCGAGAGGCAGGGAAAGAAGACAGCTGGGGCCAGCTGACTAGCTATACCAGCCAGTTAGCAAAAATAGAGTATGGTGGGAGACACACTCAGTTCGGATGTGTGTGCACACTTACATGTACACCTATGCACAAGGGAACACACGTGCACACACATGCACTGGCAAAGTTCCACACATGGGCAAAAACTTCCAGGGCAGCACCCAAGAAGCCTGTTGGTTAAGGACAGCAGCAGCAAGGGGCAGCAGGCCACAGTGGCTCCCTTGCCCACACAGTGTGTGCCACTGTCCAGGCCGGGTGTGATGTGTCCCTTTCAGAACTAGTAAATAGTCTTCCCAGACCTCTCAGCAGTGTCTGAGGCCCAGAGAGGTGTCTTTACTATCTCAGCTCGCCTTTCCAGCTCTGCCCAAGACATGCACTCAGGTACCCAGCAGTGGCCACACGCCTGGGATGATGCTGGGCCCCAGGCACCAGGCTCAGAGTCAACCAGCTGCAGGGGAATGGCTGCCTATCAGGTGCAAGAGAAGGGGATGCTCCTTCACTCGGGTTTGTTTCTGTCCCTAGAGCCAGAGGCCATGGCTGCGTTCTTGTTAGAAATGAGCATGTCGAAGTAAAACGTGTTTGTAGCAGCCCAGTGAGCCGTCTCAGTGAGTGACCTGGAGCCTCTAGCTAAGTTGGGAGCTGATGTGACCAGTGCAGGAGCTGCCTGCTCCTCAGAGCTGACCTCCAGGTATGGAATCAGGAGGCTACTCCTGGCTAGCTCAGGAGTCAGACCCTACAAACTGCTCCCTGGGTGAGTGTGACTTGTATGGCAAGGAAACCTCAAGCTACACACCTAGATGAGTAGTTCTGGCTGGCAGGTTAAACCACACTTGCTACCAAGTCTGGTGACATAAGTTCAGTCCCCAGGGACCATCTGATAGAAGGAGAGGACAGATTCCTACAAGTTGTCCTCTGGCCACATGTGTGCTGTGACACATGTGCTCACACAATAAATAAAATACTTTTCAAAGTGTTCTTCTGGGGAAATGACCTGTGTTCCTGTTCCTCCAACCCAAAGGTAAGGTCCCATGAGTCCAGGGTAGCTCACTGTTGAAAATGCAAGACTGCTAGGCCTGAGAGTAAGAGCAGGTGTGTGTGGGGGTGTGGTGGCATTGATGCTGGGATGACCCGAGGTGAGACAAACAGGGATACAGTCATCTGAATGCACCTCTAGATTCAAGAGACACAAGGCATTGAAAAGAGCGTCTTCGCAGTAAGAGGAGGTTGGAGCCACTCAGGAGAAGACGAAAGTCACCGTGCAACATGCACAATTAAAATGGGCCTTAACCCAGTATGCAACCCATGCTGATAACTAGAAGATGAGCTAGGCATTGGTGGTGCACACCTTCAGTCCCAGCACTCAGGAGGCAGAGGCAGGCAGGTTTGTGTGAGTTCGAGGCCAGCCTGGTCTACAGAGCTAGTTCCAGGACAGGCTCCAAAGCAATACAGAGAAACCCAGTCTTGAAAAACCAAAAAAAAAAAAGAAGAAGAAGAAGAAGAAGAAGAAGAACTAGAAGGTGGTGGCCAGGCAGTGATGGCACACGCCTTTAATCTCATGAACTGGGTGTAGTGGCACATGCCTGTAATCACAGCACTGGGGAAGTAGAGGCAGAAGGATCAAAAGGTTGAGGTTATCCTGGGCATTCAAGACCTTATGTCCAAAAAGGAAATATATGCAGTACATCAGAAAGCACAGAGAATTGTCTGGCAAGAGGATCATGTATGCTCTTTGCCAGTGAACAGGCCAATGTGGCCAGCAGCATGGGAAGGGGCACTCAGCATGTACAGGTGATGAGGAAATTCAGATTCTTCAGTGAGATGCCACTGTATCCCCCTCCCCTGAAATGGCTGAGCTCAGAGTCCTCAGGCCCTAGCATGCACGCACGTGTGTGTGTGTGTGTGTGTGTGTGTGTGTGTGTGTACGTGTACTGAAGTGTACAATGGTGAAGTCTTTAAATTTGAACACTATGAACCACACAATATGAACCAGCACTAGCATGAATGCATGTCCCAAGAATGCCATAGCAAGTTTACTCATAGCTGTCCCAGCTGTAAGCGACCTGATTGAGCAGGAGTGTTAGAGATATAGCACATAACGTATGGTATGTTTGTATGCTGGGACAGTATTTAAGTGAGTGACTTGCTAACATGACATGTGAATCTCAGCACTTTGCTGAGCTAACATAGCCGAATGCAAGACAAAATTCATATCTAGAGATGGGTGCCAAAGCATCAGTTACACACCATCTCTTCGGTTGCTGATGGAGGGTGTTCTCCTGAAGATGAAAGCTTAAGTCAAGAAAACAAGCATGGGGCCCAGTCCAGGAAAGGTGCCTAAAAGCTGCTAACAGTGAGCTCTTGACTGGAATGGTTCAGAAGCTTCTAGAAGAGACAAAAAGGGTTGCAGCCCTTTTTGAGATTACACAACTGGAGGAGAGTTGACCATGTGTGAATGGGGAGTCACAGAAGATTGCATTCCCAGGGGAATTGAAGTTTAGCAAGGAGGGGAGCAGAGTGATGTGAGGCGTCACCCTGGAGTTCTCAGTCACACTGGGGAAGCACAATGGCAGGCCTGTCCAGAGCTGTGTATGGCAAGCACAGAATGTGTGCGTGCAGGTGGCACAGGTCATCCTCACGATCCTTGTGGAGAATGGATACACAGGATCTGGACTGACAGGTGGCCACACGATGGACATGTTTATTTAGTGACATAAATACAAGAAATCTTAAGACAGTTGAAAGTGGAGGCTGGACAGGGTTGCTATCTTTAATAACAAGCCTAGATCTAGGGGCAGGGCATATGGCTCAGCAGGTGGAGTGCTTACTTAGCACGCACAAAGCCCTGGTTTGGTCCCAAGCCACATAAACTGAGTGTGATGTTGCAAGCCTGTAGTCCTGGAACTTGGGAAATTGAGGCAGGATGATCAGAAGTTCAGGTCATCATTGGCTACATGAGATCCTGTCTCAACAGCAACAACAAAAATCTCATAGATATATCTGACTTGAGAAACATCTCTGATAAAAAACATTAGCAAGTGTCCATCTACGATGTCTTAATAAAGAACCTAATGCAAGAAAGCTAAAAACACAAGCAAGCCATGCAGAGAGACCGTTCTGAGGCCGTGGAGCTGTTGGCATGCCTGAGAATCTTGCTCCTCTGAGGGAAATGAAAATAGGGATCAGTCAGCACCGGCACACCCTGATGGCAACAGGCACATCTACCCAGTCCTCCAGATCCTCATTACAACTAATGAATAAAAGTGACAGAAACCAAAGATATGCACCTGCTCAGCCTGGCAGAAGGTATACCATCCACCAGGAGGCAGCAACTTGCAGCAGGACAAGCCACCTGAGCCTCCACGCTCGTCAGTAATGCCCAATGGTTCACCAAGGTCCACATACACAGTGTGTTACCAGATACACTGAGTCACAGTGGTAGCATGGCTTCTCACAATGATTGGTGGCGGATGGGCCAGGGTGGCAGTATGGCTTCTCAGTGTATTAAGAGGAGACAGGCAATGCCTGCCTAGAATGCTATTTTTATAAAATAAAAATGTTGACCTGTGTGTGGTGTGTATGTTTACATGTAGGTTTACATGTGACCACATGTGTGCCCATATAAGTATTGGGTGTTTTTCTAATTCATATTCAACTTCGGGTCACTGATTGAACCTGGAAGTCATCAGTCCTGCGGTATCTAGCTAGCCAGCTACCCCAGTCCTGGGATCTGAACTCTGGTTCTCATTTGTTCTACAAGACTCCTGACTATTCTAAGAAAACACACCGGTTTACCCAGGCAAGCTCAAGTTCCTGGCAATCGTTCAGGCCCCGCTTCCCATGAGCTGGTATCACTGATGGACCCACCACACTCAGTTCCTAAACGCTTAACTCCCTTGAGACAGTCATATATGAGGGGCTGTGGGCATTGGTGCCCTTGGGTTAGCCAGTGGACACGTGTGGGTAGCATAACTACCTGCTCCTTGAGCTGAATCCTGAGTGCCCAACAGCACCAATAGTACACTCTTCTGTGGCCTAGATGTCCTGCAGGGAAAACCTTGAAGGAAACCTTCCTGCCCTTCCCACCCTGGCTGCCTCCCAGGACAACCATGGTCCTCTCCTGCAAGCCCTCCCAGGATGCCCCACACACAGACATGCCTCACAGCCACGGACCCACCACATGCTCTGGGGTGTTGTCTCCAGATTCTCACTCCACTTGCACACTCAGGGTTCTATCTATAGCTACGTGCCACACTGGTAGATGAAAAGAGCCTCGTCATAGTCCCTGTTCCCAAAAAAATACGGTGTGGGGCACAGGAGTCCTGTGTGAGGTGTTGGTGGCTAATGCACCGCAGAAGTCGAAGCACTGCCCTGTCAGGATCTGTGTGTACAGGTCCTCGTCCCCAAGTCCTCCCAGGACTCACATGCCAACCAGTTCTGGGTCTGGCCTAGAACTGGGCTTGGGTACACAGCCCAGAAAGGATCCAAGGCCAAGTTCCTGATCCGGCCGCAGAAGTCAGGATAAGATGGTATCCAGGGACACACAGCATGAGGAAGGGTGCAGAAGGGCAGCCAAAATGGCAGTGGGCAGGGCAGAGACACGGGACATCCTAAATGCTAACATGGCACCACCACAGCCCCCATCCCTTGACTCAGTAGCAAGATGTTGGTCCCACCAAGTCCAGGGCAGAAATCACATATGAAAGACCTTACAGCTTTGGAAAATAATACGGATTGTTAAAAATATAGCAGTAGAGATTTAGAACAATTTACCTGACTGGCTGGAATAGGTCCCAACAAGATGACAAGTAAGAACAGTCCTGTCCCCACCAAGGCCTTCACCTCAAGGTACAGGGCCTGGCTCAGGAGCACCACTACAGGAGGAGGCCGGTAGGGGAGGCTGCAGGGCCCCAGCAGCAGAGCCGGTCAGTGGCAGATGCAAGTCACAGATCTCACGGCAGTGCAGAATGCTCTGCTAGTACAAGCTGTCACCATGGGAACCTCATCCGGGATGGGTAGTGCAGCTTGTATTCCAGGCCAGGGAGACTGTTTCCAGTTTCTACTGGTCAGCTGTAGCTGCACTATTGTGGCAGGTACTGGGGCTACCAACGCCTGGAGACAGGTGCCTTTGGTACCCCACGGCCTAGGAGAACTTGTCCAGGCCAAAAGGAGGGTCAGTCTTGGGCACCAGTGAGGCAAGAGGCCCTGATGGCAGAGAGGAGGCTGCTACATGGCTTTCACACACTGGAATGAACTGATATGGTATGGGCCCAGAACCTTCGACCGCCCATTTCAAAGCACAAAGACCAACCACAGCCTCCATTGCAGCAGGAGGCCAAGACTCAGCTTCCATCGCTGACCACCAGAGTACACAGACAGGCCAGGGACCCATCAAAGGGGATGGCCTGCCTGGCCACATCAGATGGTCCAGATGGTCCAACCTGGGCTGCAGCCTCAGGGCCCTTTCTTCCGCTGCTCCAGCTCTGGTAGTCGTTCTTCCCGGGTCTGTGCATGCCGGGTCCCCACGCGATGTGCTGTCTCTGTAGCCATGATGTCAATCTGGGCATAGCGGGAAGAGCTGGCCCCTGAAAGCAACCCACAGTGAGTGGACCACACAGCAATAGTCCCCGGCCCGGCTGCCCCTGGCCTGGTCTACAGGTGCCTCAGGGGGCAATGGGCACCCTGATTCATCTCCATCCTCACCTATCCCAGGAACCACGTCAGAGCCTGGGTGTCAGCTGTGGGGGCAGGGTCTGAGGGTCCTGCCTCACTTGCAAGCTAGAAGGAAGGGCTCCCTAGCCAGGGCTGAAGTGATGGAGCCCAGGCACAAAGCTATGGTTACAACTCCCCCCACGAAGCCCCCCTGTGGGAACTCACCTCGCACACTCCCACTGGCCCCTGGGAACTCCAGACCCATGTAGTGCAGCTGCAGTCGAGAGGTAGGGCTGATGGGGATGTTCACATAGGTGGGCGGCTCGCTACGTGGTCGTTCCAGCCCTGGGCTGTCAACAGCCTTGGGCCCTGGAGATCCTGTGGAGAGAAGGCCTCTGAATCCCTGAGATGTAGCTGGGAGCTGTACAGCCCCCTCTCCCAAGGCCACTCCACAAAGAACTTCCCGACCCTCCATGGCCCAGTCCCCTCCCCGGCCTTCTATCTCACCTTGGAGACACTCCCCAGTTCTCCCATTCCCCACTGGCCCAGTGTGACCCTAGGATTCACACACTGCCCCTCCCCGTCCAGTCACTCACCCCTATACCCCCCCCACAAGGCCTGTTCTCTGTTCTGGGTCTTCTACCTGCTGCTGGGGTAACCTCCACTAGTGTGGGTAATCCCCACCAGACCATAGCTAACACTTCCATCTGTGTCCCTGGCAAAGCAGGGACCCCCCCTCCCTCCAGGACATCTCAGCAATTTGGATTTTCTTCTAAGAATCCATCCCTTGCCTCTGTCCCGTATCCTAGCAGTTGGTGGCGAGTGTGTGCAAAGCCCATGGTGCTAGCTGACAAGGAGCAAGGGACCCTCCCCGCCCAGAAGCTAGGGCTCAGAGTAGACTCACTGCTAAACAAGCCATTTGGACTGCCCCCATCCCCTTCCGTGCAGGCCCAGGGACCCTGCACACAGCTGGCAAAGTCAAGATCTTTCTCCAGCTCCTAATTCTGTCCCTATGGGATAGGGACAATCATATAGAATGGGACACAAAACACCATTTCAGAGTGATAGGCAAGGCCAGTCATTCCTTCGTCCTCTATTCCAAGTGTCAGCAGCCTAGACACAGACAGGTCCTTGCCCCATAGCGCATGCCAAGCCCACAGAATCCAGTCCCGGGCTTGGGCTCAGGTTGGGGGCATTGAGAGCCCCACAGGTAAGCTTGTTTCTACACTCCATATCCAGAGAGAGAACTGGCTCTTCTTGTCTGCCCCAGGATCCTGACCACCCAGCCATGTCCCTGACACAACTCCATCTGTGTCAATCAGTGCCTCACCCCTTGCTCCCACTTCCTGCCACCAACATGGCTAGTGTGGCATGTGGCAGCAGTTTGCTCTTCACAGAGAGCCTAAGGCAGAGGCCCCAAGTTCCCAAGTCATACATCCACCAGCCAGTACATCCAGATGAGACCCCAGGATTGTGGGGGTCCACTTCTGGCTATTCACTGAAGCAAGCGAGGCAGAGACCCCAAGTCCCCAAGACTTGGGAACCCCACAGCAGACCCCTATTACATAGTACATGTCCTTGGAGGTCTTAAGGTCCTTGTACTGTCTAAGCTACAGCGAGGCCCAGCTGCTGCACAGGGCCAAGTGGGAAGTCCATTGCTGGCCTCAGGTCAAGGAGCTGGCTTTGCTTGCTCATAGAACATCCTGTCTTAGCCCCTGGCAAGCAAAGGCAGGCTCAGTGTTTTCAATCCCCAGAAAAATCTCTGATCTGAAGCAAAGGATTTCTGAGACCCGTGCATTTGTAGCACAGAGAATCTATCATAGCAGAAGAAACCCTCCCCAAGGAGGCTGAACCAGCAGGGTGGAGGGAAAGCTAGTGCCAGCCTGCACTGCCTGCCCAGGCAGCAAGGCAGAACCCACAGCAGGCCTTCAGGGTTGGGTTAGCAGGCTGGAGAAGGGGCGTGGCTAAGGGAAGGAGGAGAGGGGATGGGGCATAGTGAGCCAGGCCTGGGGCCCTGCAGACTCAAGAAGCTGGATCGTAGCATTGAAGGGCAAGAAGGGGATGCTGAACATGCTCCCTGAGTCTGGACACTCTGGGATTCGATCCATTTTTTTTTTTTTCAAGATGGTGTGGACAGGGGAGTTGAAGAGAAGCAGGGAAAAGCAGGGGAAACCTGAAACCCGACTCAGGGATATAGATGGAAAGTTCGAAGCCAACTGATATTCGAAGTCAAAGGCCAGAAGGGCACTGTCCAGACTCCATGAAGTGCCTCCTCTCCCCCTAAACTCACTATCCTCCCAAAGCAGACGTGACCAGCTGCTCAGGAAGGTGTGGGTTCGCTATGCCCCATGTCCTTCCTGGTACTTTAATTCAGTTTTAGCTTTGGCAGAGTCATTCTAAGACTCAAATACTTGCTAGAACAAAACAGACAAGGGGATATTATTGCCTGACTTTTTCCTCCCGCAGCTTCAGGCTGATCCCCACTATAACCAGGCACACCTCTGTTCCTAGTCTGGCCCAGATGTCCCTCATCAGTCAGGGTCCTGCCTCCCGTGACACCCCACCCTTGCCTTCAGAGGGAGAGGGACCTGTTCTCAGTGGTGCCTTCTCCACCTCTGCCTCTTTGGTCCTGGAGAAGGGTAAATACTGACATCCTAGTGAAGAGGTAATAGAGGGAGATGGCTAAACAGCGAGGGCCACCTCCTGATACTTCATGATGTCAGGGAGGACCCTGGACCACAGGCTCCACATGGACCCAGCATCCAAGCTGAGCATCCCAGACAGAAAACCCCGGCAACAGATGGGATTGGGCTCTCCTGTTGGCCAGTGTGCTGACCCTGCCTGCCTGTGGCCCCACCCACTGCTTTTTACCCCACTATCCTTGGGTCTGATTGGACTCTATCTTACCTACAGGGCTTGGCCTTCCAAAGGCACCACTGACCTCTAACAAAAAGAGCCAGGGATCTGCGGCACCCATGCACGAGTAGACAAGGCCCAAGGTATCCTTGGCCTCCAGCCACCTGGCCCAAGGCCAGGCACCCAAGACCTATAGTCTCTCCAAATCCTCCCTGGTTGGGCCAGCACCTTCCAGCCTTCATCCACTGACATCCAGGCTTCTTCCAAGAAGTCTTCCTTGCTTGCTGAGTTCTCCGACATTCCCACCCTTCCACAAACCTGTCCTGAGGATCTGGAACCTCCGGGGCCCGTTACTTCCTTGTCTGCTTGCTATCTGGTACACACTTAGGGCTTGGAACCAAACCCCTCAAATCTGATTCCTTAGCTACAGACCACAGTCCAGCTGTCCACTGGTCACCCCTAGACATGCCACCCAGAGCCATGTGCCTGTCCTTAGCTCACGACCTCACCCTGCTCACCTGCTCCAGGCTCCCCAGATGCCACTGTCACCCCATTGCCCATACTCCTCCCATCCAACAGATGGGACCCCTTAACTCTGAACCCTTCATCCCTGCACCGTGAGTGCTGGGGTCCAAAGCCAGGTGCCTACCTGGATATGTCACAGTGAGTCCAGGGGTTGACGTAGCCATGACCTAGACCAAAGACAACAGGGATTAGTATGTACATCCCACTCACTCTTTGCCCTGCCCCCTGGGCCCCAAGAAATAGAATGGTAACTCCAAAACTGGCATAGGTCTGAAGATCCGGAAAACCTCCAGACTGGAGGAACACAGCTTTATCCTCCAGACCCGTTTGTTCTTAGATCCCATTGCCCTGACCCCCGAAGCCATGGTCTGACATGACAATCCAGGAGACAGCTGAGGCCAGGGGTATTCTGAGGAAGTTTACAAACACAGGCCTCCAGGCTGCTCCCTTCTAGCTTATGGTACAGCTAGACCCTACTGCCCATCAGCTGGGTATCACATGGTTGCTGAACAACATGGTATGTGGCCCGTAGTGACAACAGTGTTGCTCTCTGACATGTTGTCCCATACTTTAACAGCACCTTCCTGGGAACCCACAGGTAAGACAGTCACCCATCCCCAGAATGAGTCCTGGGTCTATGCTTCCTGGCAGAGCCAGATCGGGGAGTAGATGGAGTGTGAAAGGAAACAGTTTAGAATAGCTACATGGGCAGGTAGGGGAGGATGAAGGCCAAAGCTGGGCGCATTTGCTATCTCATGCACAGACCGCCAGGGCTCCAAACATTCCAGCACCTGTTGTGAAAGGTCCTGTCCTGAACAGGTAAGAGTCCCACAATCCCAGAGACTCTGTAGGAGCAACTTGATAGGGAGGCTTCATGGGGGTGGGAGGTGGGGCAGAAAAGGGAACATGATACCCAGCACTTTCAGGCCAGCCTTGAGAGTGACAGTCACATGCCCAGGGTGCAGGCAGGGTACATGGTCTGCCCTGAGCAGGCCATGTGGATCTGACTGCATTACCATTTATAACAGAGCCTTGTGCAGCCTTGGGGACTCAGGTATAAAGCAGCCCAGGGACAAGAAGCAGACACCCTAGAGCCAACCACATACAGGCCTCTGAGGATGTACTTTGTCACTAAGCAAGAGGCCATGTCCTTAACAGCCCCCAAAGAGGGCATCTGCTCAGGGAGCACCATGGCTAAGGGGTCAACACTGGACTCTAGGCATGGGTGGACCACATGGGACATGATCAGCTTAGGCTGGGCTGTGTGTGAAGAGGCACAGTCTGAGACCAGCATCCACCTGTCTGCAGGCCTCTGGCTTGAGGGGAAGCCCCCATCCTATCAGCCACCCCATCTCATGAAGAGGAGTCAAGGCGGGTGATGGGGCCCTAATCACTGGCGCCTTTGCAAGCTGCTGGGGTTCGTGGTGTCACGAGGGATGGACTGGCACAGGAGGAGAGCCTGGGATGACCTTCCCCTGGACACTTTCTCCCAGTGTGCTACGGTGCTCCCTTCCTGAAGCGAGGACTTCTTGCCCACCCAGGTCCAGGGCCCAAGCCAGCTTGCCTCAGGTAGAGGGTGGACATACAGGCTCCAACAGCATGGATTCAACCTTCCCAGACCTGCCCACCTAGCCACCCCTCTGCCTGCTGCAGGGAGGGACCCATGGAAAACAGAGAACTAAGTCCGAGAACAAGGGGCTCAGGCCAGGGCTGTGCCTGCCATTCTGGCTGGCCATGCCCTGGCTCCCTGGGCCTGGGAATCTGCGTTCTCAGCCCTTTTGTAGGAAGAATGCCTGGCTCTCTCTAGAGTACACACGTCTGATGGGTGTTTACACAGAATCTCATCAGAACCTTGGGCCAGCCCGTGAGGTGAGGACGGTTACCCATCAATGGAGGAGGAAACTGAGGCTCACAGAGGCATGGTGACTTTCAGGGTCACCCAGTCAGTGGGTATTGAGTGTGGCCAAGTCCCCAAAGCCTGCTCTTCCCTACCCAGCAGCTTGGGGGAGCCAGGCTCCCAACTTCCAGCAGAACTGCCAGCAAGGATGCAAACAGGCAGGCAGGGAGGTACTGCTCTCTGGAGCTCTCTCTGCTTGGGGTTGGAGGGGGGGTAAGGGATGGAATGGATTGGGTTGCGTTAGGGTTGGGTGAGTCCGAGCTCAGAGCAAGCTCTGCATGGGAAGTGAAACGCACAACACTGGTCATGGGGGGCCCTAGGCCTGAGTCTGAACAACCACTGCTCGCTTCAGTGTGGTTTCCACAAGCCATATGTGAAGCACACACACGATATGCTCGTCACCCCCCACCACACACACACACACACACACACACACACACACACACACACAATGTCCCCAGCCCCAAGGCTATCCAAAGCCACCTGTCCTCTTCCCCACATCCACAACACCCAGACCTCAGGCTGAGGGCCAGGCCCCTGGAGTTTCCTCAGTCCCAGGCCTGGTGGGGAGGCTGGGCCAAATGGAACAAGGCAAGGCAGTATGAAAAGATAACTTTATTTCCAGTTTGAGAATGTATTACAAACAGATTTTAAAAATTCAAGAGAGCAACATGATTGGCAGACAGTGTAGGTACAGATGGCATTTCCAGCATTGGCCTGCCGGGTCGGGACTGCAGGTGCCAATGGAAGGGCTCATAAATGGTGGGCACAGCCACACCGAGCCTCTGACACAGGGAAGTGGAGCATCTCCGCTCTGTGCAAGGGAGCACTCAGCCTGGGAGGGGAGACACCCAAACACAGAGCCAGGGTGACCTGGGGGTAGGGCCAGAGCCCTCCAAATGCCAGTGGAGCCCTGATTTTTCCACCTGGTCCTGGCCACCAGCTTCCTGGTCCCAGCAAGGCGGCACAAGGGGAGCACTACTGGGAGGCTCCGCGAGAAACCCCTCCAGCAAACTGACCTCGGGAACCTGGGAAGAAGTTAACCCCTGGGGGTGCTGCACATTCAGCCCTCCCTCCAGGCGCCCCGGAGCAGGCTGGAGAGCAAAGGGGGGGGGGGTCAAAGTCACAGACCCCTCAAACCATGGAGCCTCCTTAGCGTCAGTTTCCTCCCCGTGGGATGGTACACCGACCCCACCTGAGAGCACTGCAGGGTGATACGTGAAGCGGATCACACGCAGACCGTGCCCAGTCTGTGGGCTGCACGCACAGAGCAGCTGGCTCCCAGAGCCGGGGAGGCTAGAGCAGCTGTGGTAGATTGGATTGTGGGCTCTGCACACTGCAGAAGTGACCAAGAATGACAGAAGTGTGCCAGGCCAAGCCTCACTGTCACTGAGAACTGACCCCAACCACGGCTGCCTTCTGTCCCCCAGCGGTGCCATACATGGCAGGAGCCCATGGACATAGCACCCCACGCCTGACCCACAAGGTGAGAAGAGCCAGGGCAAAGCTGATCAGTGGCTCTCCTGACCCCAACCTGCCCAGCCTCCGTCACTGGCAGCCATAGCACCCACCGAGGGGAGGACAGCCAGCCCTGTGGTTGTCATCCTGCCCCTGAGGCCCTTGCCACAGGTCTGGCGGCTTCTCAAAACAGCACAGAGCATCCCCTCTACAAAGAGACTAGGGCCCCTCCTCTCCTGTCTGGAGGGGCCGCATCCAGCCCTTGGCAGCAGTGGCCAGCCTGCTATCTCAGGGAGGGGGCTTTACCTTGAGTCCGCCACAGACTGAACATGACAAAAAGAAAGCTGGAGGTGGCCCTGCATGGGGGCTGCCTGCTTCCCAGGACTCGCCAGGGGATGGACTGGGCAGCGTGGTTTCACTGCCCGGGCCTTCTGTTGCCTGTCCCCGTCGTCGAGCTCCCAGGCAACTGGAGGCGGGCGCCTGGCCACCTAAGTCCGTGGCTGAGCTGTGGTCAGAGCCACCCTGAGAAGCATCAGAGCCACCCTGGGAGGCGGGGCTTGGGTCTCTGGGGGCCTGGCGCAGGCTTCGAGGCGTATCGTAGTGGCGTCGTAATGAGGTGGGCACCTGGTACTCAGCCACCCCCGGTGGGCAGGCACATAGTCTGGGCTCAGGTGCGCTGGCTCCAGGAGGCAGGCTAAGCAGAGAACCAAACTCCTCTCCAGCCCGCCACACGTCCAGGCTGCTGCCAGCATAGGATGAGAAGCTGCCAGAGTAGGAGGAGTGGCTGCCTGTGGCAATGCCACTGTCAGAGGAGCTCTGGCGGCCAACTTCCTGTAACTGTCGAGGCCGCAGTGGTTTGAGGGGTGGCCTTGAGGCTCCCAGCATGGCTTCTCCTGGACCCTGGGTAGCCACCAACCCTGGCCCTTCCTGTGATGTGCTGGCTGAGGACGAGGACTGTTCCGGCCATGCAGTGAGCCGGCTGCTGGCACTGATGTCTGAGTGGCTGGCCTCGGAAGAGGAACTGGACAGGCTTCGATCATCCCCTAGACAAAGCAGAAACTAAGGCTGCTGGGGAGGTCCAAGCAGGTGAGGGGTGAGCTCCACTCAGCATGCTATATGACAGTTCACTTATTCCTAGCCCCTATACCTGGAAGCTGGAGCAGGAGGCCAGGGTCTGGAAGGCAGCCCCTTCCTCATCCAACCCCTGGCCTGCTTTCAGTGCTGGCCTTTATAGAGCCCCTATCACTCCCCTCCCTTACCCCTGGCACTTTCTGGGTCCCAGTCTGAGTCTCTCCATATGGACTCCACCCCCCACCCCGAGGCAGGTACCTACTTCCAGACCTTCCATGCTATGTATCTATGACCCAGCTTCTGAGTTTCCTCCTCCTCTCCCAATCCAACTATTACAACTACCATACTGGCACCTTCCAGCCCGACTTGGGGCAACCCATCCTCCTTTACCATCCGAGGTATGCTCACACACCAGCCTGCCCCATCCAGCCTGCCCCCATCACTGCCTCCTCTTCTTATGGGACTGTGAGCCTCTGAGGACAAGAACCTGCCTGGGTTCAAATCTGTGCACAACCCCCGGCCCCATCCCGCCAAGACTCTGTTTTGCCTCACTCTGTGAGCATGCAAAACAAAACATGCCATCTTTGCTTTTCCTCCCGGCCTGCCTGGCCTAGCTTGCAGGGCTCCCAGAGCAGATATTAGAGGCGAACCCTCCAAGGGCATAGGAAAGCTTACTGCAAGCTTGAGAGTCCCTGCTCGTAAAGGGAGGGAGAGGGCCACCGCCCCTCTGTACACCCTTGGGAGTGGTGAGAGGCACCAGAGTCCTTCTCTGGCCCAGGAAGACCTGGTACAGTCTGCCTGCCAAGCCAGCCTCCATCCCTCAGCCACAGCTGCTCCTGGCCAGGCTTCCAGGTTCTTCCATCCATGTTCCCATTGACAGTAGCTATAGAGAACCATCTGCTCCTGGGAAGCCAGCTCAGTTGGCCCCTGAACATTTCGTCAGAAAATACACAGTATAACTAAATTGCAGAAGGCTTGGGCCTTGCCACAAAGCTAGTGGGGGGGGGGAAGGAATTCAAACCTAGGTCACACTTCCCGTCACAGCTGCTGTTGGCGTGTGATGTGTTTAAAGGATAGTATGTGCCTGGATGAAGGGAGGGTACATGAATAAATGGGAGAAAGAAGGAAGAATGTGTAGGAAGGGAAGCAGCGAGTGGCTAGATGGATGGGTGACGAAAGGAGGGAGGGAGGGAGGAAAGAAGGGAGGGAGGAAGGGAGGGAGGAAGGGAGGGAAAAAGGGAGGGAGGGAGGAAGGGAGGGAGGAAGGGAGGGAGGGATGGAAGAAGGGAGGGAGGGAGGGAGGAGGGAGGAAGGAAGGGAGGGAGGAGGGAAGGGGGGAGGAGGGAGGAAGGAGGAGGGAGGGTAGAGGGAGGAGGGAAGGAGGGAGGAGGGAGGGAGGGAGGGAGGAGGGAGGGAGGGAGGAGGGAGGGAGAAGGCTCAACTGAGATGTGTGACAGCTACAGAAGAGTCATACAGAGTATGCTTACATAGAGACTCCAATAGCCCATGCACAGACAGATTGCTGCCCCGGCCTGGAGTGGAGTGGGCAGGCAAGTACTCAGAGAAAGGCCCCCGCAGCCCAGACAAAACCAACCACTGACTCTACCTCCACTGCCTGGCCGGCCAGAGTGTGAAAGCAGGCTAAGTCGTTTCTCCAGCTGCAAGGCTTCCAGTGCTTCCTGGGCAACTCGCTCCTCTGAGGCTGAGGGCCCTCCAGGGCTCAGGTCTGTGCAGAGGAATGGGTCAGTGAGGCAACAACCATGCCTGCACCCCACCCCTCCACCACCAGGGCACCTGGTAAGTCTAGAACCTTCAGAGCCAAGGCATCCTAAGCTAACCCCTGGGAGGCCCAGCCCTGCCCTGCGCCTTGGCCCAGCTGCTGGGCATCAAGCACAGGCTACCCAAACCAGCCACTCAGACCGGCTAGGTCTCAGACCAGAGTAGGTCTCTCTCTCTCTCTCTGTGCACAAGTCCTCATCCGCACAGCCCATGTTCTTGTCCCTGTGCACACATCCCGAACCACCCAGCCTTAGTCTGTTCCTGAAGTTGGTCCCCTCTCTGTCCAGCATAGGTACCTGTCTGTGTGCAATCCCCAGCTCAGGTCCCTGTGTCTGAGGATAGGTTCACATCTGCCCAGCCTGGGTCCCTGTCCGCCCTCACCAGGAATGAGCCTCTCCTTGCTCATTGGTAATGGTACCAACAAGGACCACAACTCCCCTGATCTAGATAATGGTTCCTCCTCAGGACCTAGGGAGCTTTGGCCAGCCCTAGCTCACCACGCCCACGCCTCAGGAGCTCCACTTTGGTCTGAATAAATGCCTCCATAGCCCTGCTGCTGCCTGTAGCTGCTAGGTTGGGTGGGATCTTTTCCTGGCCCCTCATCATCTGCTGTCCCTGAGCCATACCACCATAGGTGACAGAGAGCAGGAAGGTTGCCACCCTATCCTCCCCAGGCCCCCTCCCCTGCTGTCTTCGCTGGGGTCCTCTTTGTCCATATCCACACTGCCTAGATGAAGCCCTTGACATTGTCAACATTTGGCTGAGAGGCAGCCAGACTGTGAGCAGCGGGGACCTGCTTCTCTGGCCCTGCACAGCCATGTAGTCCTTCCTTCCTTCCTTCCTTCCTTCCGAAATACCTTGGAGCACAGTTGGCTCCAGAGAGCCCAGGGGAGGGGCGTTCTATGGTTGGCACCTCAGCTATGAATGCCAAGCTTCCAGCACCCCCATTAGAAAGGGCCACCGAAACATCATGAATGCTGTGCTCAGAGCAGGAGTTCCCAGAATCCTCAATCCTCCCCTTCCCTCCGGCCCCCTCTAGGCTCCGGTCTTCACGCGGAGAGCTGAGGCCTCAGTGGGCCTGATCCTAGTGACGTGCACACAACAGCACATCAGCAAACCTAGCCAGTGGGGCGTGCATCCCAGGAGCCCCACAGCTGAGGGGCTTTAATGCCGTGCCATCCACAGAGTCCTTGTCCTCCCATAACCCCTCCCCACATGGGTCAATGCTGTAGGACTCCACAATTGCCCTAGCTGGATGCTGACACATTTGGCATGCTGGGATGACCCAAGGTTCCACGTGCCTCAGCAGGACGGACACCTAGGGTACAATGCTTGCAGGCCGTGGTAGCGGCATTGTTTAAGCACACCCAGAGATGATCTGATAAGGACAGTTGTGGCGAAGGTCTGGGTACCCCACCAGCCCAGCCATCCACCAATAGTCACCAATAGCCCTATCTTCTAGGGGCAGCCCACTCCCTGCCTGTGTTGGGGCACAACTCACTTCCCAGATGATGCCATTCTCTGCCCAGTGTTGTGGCCAGTACTCCCTTTACCCAGAAACACTTAAAACAAGCAGGAGAGTGGGTGCCCTGCAGCTCTGCTCCCAGGCATACCATCAGTGGTACATACACCAGGGTGAACTTGGGGGCGGCGGGGTGAACATGCTCCCAGGAGCCTCTGAAAAATGTGTGTCTCTGGGAGAAAGGCATGGTATCTCCCCCACCCCGACACCCAGGTGGCTCACTGTCACGGCACATTGTATATCTGCAACTACAAAATAGAAAAACACCAGCCGGAGGCGCTGCAGGGGGCTCTGACCACAGGGAAGGCCTCGGGTTCTCCAGCAGCTACGTCACTGGCTCTCGGGGGTGAGGAGAGCAGCGGGTGTGGAGGGCCCGGTGCCGGTGCGTTTGGCTTGGCATTTGTGTTCTCTACCCTGTTAAGATGGCCATGTAAGGACCCGGCAGACGGGAGCTTTGACCATCCACGTGTGGTCACACTAGGACACCGTCCTCGTTGGGAATCTTACACATGAGTCGCCCAACTCGGGACCTGCCAGAATCTAGGGAAGTCCATCTTACTCTGGGTTCATCGGTGCCAAGGCCACGAGCACTTCAGCTCTGGCAGCACATCTGCAGGGACTATAGGTTAGATACGAGGCACATTCTTGGGAGCACATTCATGGGAGCCCACCCCAATTACATCTCGAAACCCTCATACATACCAGATAACCTCAGAGTGGCTCCTAGACCAGATGCCAGGCTCAGATGCCATGGGTCCTGATCTTAGCAGAGACAGATCATCTGTCCACATGCCAGTTTTACCTAGGGCCAGGGCTGTCTCTGCTCCCTCTCCAGGATCTTGGGCCCCTTACTGTCCAACCCCTGCAGCTGGGACTTACCTGGGTTAACCAGAAGGCCCTGGTGTCCCAGTGGTCCATGTCCATGGAGGAGGGGCAACTGCCAGAGAGCCAAGCCTAAGAAGTGCCAGTCGACCCCCTTAGGATCCCCAGGATGTATAGTGCCTAGAACGCTATAGTCCCAGGCCAGTGGACTCTAGGGTTCTTAGTTGTGGCTGCGAAAGGGCAGGCTACCTCACTAGGTTGCTGAAGCATGTTACCAGGCTCTGGACCACCAAGCGTACCTTCCACCAAGCCACATTCCCACACACACCTGGGAGAACTGGCCGAAGCCCAAACGGGCCTTTGGTCGGGGAGATGCCTCGGACAATGCAGTCAAACAGAAAGCTGATCTGCTCTCCCTCACCTGAGGACAAGAAGAAGACTCCAGCCCCTGCAGAGGAAGGACAGAGAGACACAGGGGTCAGCCAGCCCCTCAGGGGTTGGAGAGACGCCCAGAGTAGGCCTGGGGTTCTGGGATGGGGATGCAAGAAAACCAAGCAATCTCCAACCCAAAGCCAGATGACCCCTATATAACTTCATGAAGCTACACCCCTAGAGCCCCAGAACCCCAGAGCCCCAGATCCCTTGTGCCTCTTCCGCTGCCTAGGAAGCCCATAAATGCTTCACACACAAAACCAGCCTTGCCTTGGGCACCAGATCTATACCACCACGGCCTGCCTTAACTAGCCCCGAGCAGCAACCTCCTCCACCTGCAACAATGTGTCCCCAGGGTGCTGAGTTAAGTGCTGTCTCTTTAGCAATGCCTAGGGACTGGTGGGGAAACTTGTGCCAAAGTGCCAGCTGGGTGCCCTACCCAGACAGCACCACAAGGCCTGAGAACAATGGCCCCACATCTAATGAGGGCATCCTGTTCTAACTGCTCTATCTAATACTACTCTCCTCAAAGGCTGTTCAGCAACCTACTGCAGGCACCTCCTGCGGGAAGACATGCAAGCCAAGCTACTCTCTGCCCTCCAAGACCCCTCCAGGCTTCCCAAGGCTCTTCTACCAGCCTGTGCTAATGACAAGGGAGACACTTCTGGGAAGTTCTCTTGAGTCTCCAGGAGCTCAGGCTGTCACCTCATTATGGCCATCACTGGCTCAGTCCCTTACCAGGGCTATGCCATGTCACCTATGGATATTTGTCCCAGTGTGGTGCACCCACACCACAGATGATCAGCTGCCACTCTGACCACTACAGTGTTCCCCCCACACGAAGAGTGACCTCTCCTTTCTTGGAAGTCAAAGGGTAAAGAGGAAACCCTGAGGTAGCGTATATGTGTCCCAGAGCTGACTCTGATCCTCCTGCCCACTCAGCAGTAGGAAAGGATGGTGTGCAAACAGCCCAGGGTCACTTGGGCAGAGGGACCACATAGGTATTCAGAGCCTATGTGCCCAGAGAGGCCGAGAGCGATGAGTCAGCAGCGAGGCCATCTGCCACCAGGCACCAGGCCGGCCCTCCTGCTGGGCCATGCCTCCAGCAAGGGTGAATGAAATCCCTCCCTGGCTGAGTGAATGAGAGAGCAGCCAGGCTGGCTGCACCCACCTGCTGAGCCAAAGCCATAAAGCTGGACACTCGGGTATGTCACCACACAAGAATCTCTTTCTGCTCCGGGCCTCTGCCATTGCCCAAAGAAAGGCAGGCAGGGTCCCATGCAGGAGGGCTCTCAGGGACAGAAGGCAGGGACAGCTCTAAGACTGGGGGAAGGGGTGAGTTCTGAGATGTCCCCTCACTAAAACTTTTGCCTCTAGGTCACATTCCACCTTTGCTGAGCATGAAGCTGTGAACTCCAGGGTCTCAGCCAGTACCAAGACATGCAAGCCCACCCAGTGCACACAGGCAATGACAGTCCCTGTGATTGCTGAAGCTTCGTGTTGTCTTAAACCACATGGCATAGTAATGCCATTCTTGTTTTAGAGACAGGCAAACAGAACCCACATCAGGCAAGAGTCCATGATCTCAGGCAAGAGATAGACTCAAGCCTAGGGAAGAGGCCATGGGACATTGGCCAGCATAGAACTGGTTCTACACTGGGAAGCTGTGGACAATAAAAAGCAGAAATGAACAGCTATCCTGAAAGCCCACCCAGGAGACCACCTCCAGAAGCTCACTGACTCAGAAAGGCCCTGGTGGATCTGGTATGGGCTCTGCAAGCCAAGAACTCTGCTGGGCCTTGGTTAAGGGAAGTATGCTCATCAGGCTGGCCATCGTCTGCTGGCCAGTTCACACAGAGCATCCCGGGCTTACTCCCTGTCCCCATCTACCACCCCACCCACTGTAGGGCTCAGTCAGCCTGGCCCCGGCTCTCATGGAAGGCCAGGCCTCTAATCCCAAGCTCACGGGCAGCTGGCAGAAGCCGCAGGACAGTCAGTCCCCCGACTATAAAAAACCACATTACCAAAGGGAGTGGAGCCGGCCCTGCATTCCACCACGGCGGCAGTGTCTGAGGAGTATCATGCTCCCCCAGGAGATGCAATCAGCCGGACAAGGACCAGGAGCCCAGCAGCTACCAACCTGGACCCCAAATGCCTATATAGCAACCCTATTCACTCCCCGCCTCCAAGGGCCCAATAACCTGGGCCCTCAGAGTCCAGGGATGAAGCCTCCCTGCTCCTCCTGTCATTTCTACCTGCCCAAGGCTCTCAGACTCACCCAGGGCTCCCTAAACATGCCTACCCCACCAAGCATGCATCCACATGGGAGATACCCATCCGTATTCCTTAGCCTGTGGCAATGTCCTTTAAAATGTCACCTTTTATTAAGTCGTTTCAAACCCTGACCCTTACCCCCATCTAAGGAAGCCAGGCATTCATCCTGGGATGCTTTTACTTCTGAAACAGACCTTGTGATACTTATTCTGACTCACATCCCTTGACCTATCTATTGCACTGACCCCCGCCCCCAGACCAAGCACCGTGTGACAGTGGCCCCGATGACCTCTCAGGACCTGCTGCCAAGGGAGCCGCCCTTAGGTAAGAATAAGAAGACACCTCTGGGGACTTCTCTGTGTTGCTTATTGGTTTGTATGTCCCAAGAATGGGTAGAGCCCAGGTTCCCTGTCCATGTGACTGCCCAGCCAGGAGACTAGATCCTCCTTCCTTCACTACCCCAGGGGCCAGTCTGAGTCTCCTCTGAATAGGATAAAGTAACAAAGGTAACACTCTACTCTTCCAGTCCTGGGATGAGGCCCCTGAGGGAGCCTGGCACCACCCACTCCCGCCCTCTTAGAACCAGCCATCATATAGGAAAATGCAGCTATTCTGCTAGAAAAGGGGGCCCAAGAGGAACTGTGGCCTCCCTACCAAGCATAGGCCCTGCCACCATCCTGGTTCCTACTGTTCGAGTGACCCAATCTGAAGCCACCTCACTGAGCTCTGCCCAGAACTCTGACCCAGAACTATAGGCAGTAGAATAAACATTACACTTGGGGTGTTCACTACAAGGACCCGAAGATGAGGAGCCAGGAGCTCTTGGGATGTACCAGCTTTTATACTGGTGGAGAATGTCCTTGACATCACTATGACAATGTCCTCTAGATATACACATGCCTCAGGCTTGGCCCAGCAGGGACCAGCATCATCCTGAGCAGAGTGAGGGACATCAGCTAAAAAAACCTATCAACTTGCCACTGGGTACCGTTGGCAGCATCTTCATCGACCCATAGGACATGCTGCAGGCCCAGATGAGGCCATTCCTTCATGACTCCCATTCCTCTGCCTGCTTCTGCTCTCTTGCATCCACGTTGGTCCCTGGAGATTCCTGCTCACCTACGCAGCCTACACCAATACAGGATCCCAATGGGCCCTAACTCTTCTGTTTCTTGAAGACCAAGCTGAGGTCCTGGTCCTCAGGAAGAGAGTGAGCAGCCAGGCTCAGGTTGGGCAGGGGGAGTTTCCCTTCCAAACTTCAGGAAGGGGAACCTCCAAGCCCAAGATCAGGCACTCTGTGTACACAGGCCACCTCAGGAGGGAGTTGCATGGCGGGGTTGACAGTTGCTCTCTTATCCAGATGAGGAAGTCAAGGCACTGGGCTCCATCACGAGTGTTCTGAAAAACTGCAGTCATTACTGGCTTCCCCAAATAGTGAGGTTTCTGTCTAGGAACCTAATTCTTCTTATGTAGTACCCTGAGCTGAGGCATGAAGTGTCCAGGAGGTCTCATGGCCTGTCTCAGAGGTCAGAGGGCACCGTGCCTCTCCTCTCTAACAGCTTGCAGCAGACCAGCCCCCAGAGGACGCAGATGGTGACCGCTGACAGCTGGCAGTGTCTGAATTACCTAGCAGCTGGTCCTGCTCCCTGGCTCCCAGCTTGGTGCCCACTCTGCCCAAGAAGGCCTTTTGTTCCTCAAGAGGAAGAAGGGCTGACACGTGGCGGATGGAGGCCTGGGGTAAGCAGCCAGCCCCACCCTGCCTCAGGAACAGCTGCACATGAGCTGGGCCATTTCTGCCACTACCTTCACATGGCCATGAGTACCAATGGCTGCCCATGCCTCAAGTTCCTCTTTGAAATTGAGCTAGGGTCAAAGCCCCAGAGGGTGAGGCCCCATGAGTTAGAGAATGTGTGAGCACTTAGATGTGTTCCTCTCAGTGTCCTGCAGGGAAGCTCTCAGGAAGCCGTCTAGATACCACACTGGTGGGGCCTGGACCCACTCTGTATGCTAATGTCACTATATGACTACAAAGGGAGAGAGTCCACTGAAATCCAGGCCAGCAGAACCTGCAAAGCCAGTAGAGACATGACCACGGACCTGGAGAATTATGACAGGCAGCCCCAGGGGCCTGACTCAATACCAGCCACTGAATGCAGGACCTTCTCTGGAGGCCACAGAGAAGTGCCTGCAAATGGCCACATCTTTTGAATGTCACGTCACCCTACTGAGTCAAAGGGCCTTTGTATCGAATGCCTCCTGTCGGGACACTATTTGAACAAGTACTAGAAAGGCACTGGGTTCCACAGAGCCAAGGGTCCACATCCCAGCCCTGACCCTGCTACCCCCACCTCAGCAAGAGGTCCTGCGTCTCCCACAGGATGCAGATGGCGTCCCTGAAAACCACCAGCCACCTGCTACAGTTACTGTGCTGCTAAAGCTTCCTGTTCTCATCAGAATTTTCTAGGCTCCTCCGGCCCTTCCAGACTGTACCATAGGACCTGTTGGGGTCATTCCCAAGTGCCCAGCAAACACTGCTCTAGTGGTCCAGCCTGGGTCAGCTCTCCAGTCCCTCTATGTCCCTTTCTCTCGCCTTTCCCCAGGACTTCATGTCTCCGTAAGAACCCATGAGGTTATATTTCGCTTCTGTGTGTCAGAATCATACATGGCTATTACATGATTATTTGCTTCACACCTGTTTGCCAGATACCACACAGGGGGCTACAATCTGTCTCTAGTGGCCATGATTGTGGGTGGAGAGATCCTGGGGCCAGAGATGATGCCCCAAGATGAGGTGTACTTCCTGGGGACTCTAAGGAGATCCCACAGAGGGAGGGCCAGGATTGGCATAGTACCTGAGAGAGAGCCACCAAGATGATCTGACCCAAACTGGGAACCAGCCTGGCATCTTCCTGCTGTCTGGCGCTGAATTTTTAGTATTAGAGGACCTTGCCATTCTGGGGACATGGCATGGAATTTGCCTTGAAAAGCCTTGAAGTAGGAGCAGGGATTTCCAGGGTTAGCTCCTTCCTCCAGAAACTTCTGCTCATCCTTAATGTCAGCCTCTTCTGCCCTCCCCCATAGGCCCTCCCTTCCCAGTCTTCCATCTTCTGGGTGCCTTTCTGCTGCTTGTCCCAGAGCAAGTGGCCTCGGCACCTCTCTTCCCCACCAGGTCCCTGACACCCAGCCAAACCAACAACTTTGAGAAAATGAAAAGCACCCTTGGGGACAGTGTCACTTCTATACTGTCTGGAGAGCATGTTCTAGAGGGTGCAGGGCCAGACTGGGGGTGTCTATCCTCAGGAGAGAAGGAGAATGTTAATTCTTCCAAGGCCTTCTGACAATGCCCTTTAGCCATCTGCCCTCTAAGTTAGACATGGCTAAGTCATATGCACCATGACTCAATTTTTATAACCATCATGGCTAAATGGTGGCTCCCCAAAGACTTGTCCACATGTATCTACGGAAAAGGTCTTTACAGGTGGACTATCCTGGCTGATCCAGGTGGCCCTACAGCCGGTGACAGTCTGAGAGAGAGAGAGAGAGAGAGAGAGAGAGAGAGAGAGAGAGCAGCTGGGACACCAGGAAGCAGTTAGTGAGGAAATCAGAAATAACCTCAGAGGCCCTATGGCTTTACATCAGGGACTGTTGACCCCAAACTGTGAAGGAGCCAACCTCTGTTGCCTTAACCACCCCATCCTGGTCTGTGGTCAACTGCAGATGCCTGCTGCTCTGTGGGTCACACTGGGCTGCAGTTCCTTTCCAGGGTCTGCCCACAAGTAGGGCAGATGCATGGCCTCCAGCCACCTCTTCTGCCCACCTGCCTCGTGCCCCATGTTGTGTCAGGGAGTCACAGCTTGGCTGTAGCGATTTCTGTGACCAGCTGGAATGGAGCCAAACTTGTCCCTGTTGGAGAACAGAGCTGTAGAGCACCTGTCAGGGACAGCGGGGTGGCTTTTCCTAGTCAGTCCCTCCGTACTGACCTTCCCAGAGAAAGGCATCATTCCAAAAGCCCTGTGGATACACAGTCAATCAGGCCATGCAGAACCTGACAGCTATTTGCTATACAGGGGCTGAATCCAAACTCTTAAATCTCACACCCCAGCAGCATCGGTCAAGGTTACACCCCTGACGGGGAGGATGGGTGGACAGGTTACAGGAGTCTCCGTTGCCTGACCTAGGAATTCCACTACTCAAGTACGGACCTCTAGACAACAGGGGCTTCCTAGCCCAGGCACAGCACCTAACCATGGTCACCTACAGCCTTTTCCAGCAGCCGGTGACCTATGGGCCAAGTAGGATTTGGTCTGGAGGGAGAGAATTCCCAGCAGTGCCAACACCAGGGTTATGGAGCAGGACCCAGACTAGCCGGCTCCAGACACACTGGTTCCAGGCAGATTCCCGAAGTTGACAAGCTAATTCAGGATCTTGCTCAGAAGCCTCCGGTTAGCCATGAATAGTTTACCACAGACGCAGGGAAAACACAGCAGTCCGGGTCAGATGCTTGGTGTCACTAGCACTCAGTGCCCAGGATGGTGACAAGCAGAACAGAGCCCACTGGCACCAAGAGGCCAAGCTGTAAACTCAGAGGGACCAGAGGAGAGTGTACAGCAGGCCCTAATACATTGGAGCCCAGACGGAGTGAACAGGCCCCCACGCAAATGCATCCTCTGGCCCAGACCAACTGCGAGGCCTGCCTGGCATGAACGGCATGCTGGACGGCACCACGTCTAACCTGTACCTGGGTATCCCACAGACCGAAGCAAGGAATCTACCCTGCTCAATCGGAATGACTTCAGGAACTCCCAAATGAAGAGGTTCCCAGGAGGAAGAGGCCACTGCGTGACTGACTTGCCTGTAGTTCCCAGCTATCCAATGACAGGGGACCAAGTGGCCATCCCACCACCTAACCACAACTGGAATCCCCTACTCTTGAGACCTGACAAGGAAGAAGACTGAGCACCCAGTCAGCATGGGAAATGGCTGTGCTTACCATGGCGCTGTGATGTCATGCTGCCACGGCACTGTGATGTCATGCTGCCACGGCACTGTGATGTCATGCTGCCACAGCGCTGTGATGTCATGCCATAGCACGGTGATGTCATGCTGCCATGGCACTGTGATGTCATACCATAGCGCTGTGATGTCATGCTGCCACAGCGCTGTGATGTCATGCCATAGCGCTGTGATGTCATGCTACCTCTGTCCTGGGAGGAATGTTGCCTTGCCTCATCTCCTCCTGTATCCCTTTGCTAAGCCCCTCTGTAAATCACACCTTACCTCCTCAAAGGTCCCCATGGGACTGCCTCCCACTCAGAGGACCACTGTCTGCTCCTATTATCCACAGAGACTGTGGGGGATGGCACCCGACTAAGTAAGCCCTTGCAGAGCATGGGGTCCAGGCAGCCAGTGACCAGCACAACACATATCTATGCCATCCCAAAGAGAGGGAGGCTCTACTCTCAGATCCCTGTGCATACACGTCCAATCAGGCCATGCCGAGCCTGGCTATGTGAGATAGGGCATGCGCCCAAACTCTTACATCTCTCACCCTCCTCACACCCCAGCATAATCAGGTTACACCCCTGACGGGGAGGATGTCGAACAGGTGACAGGAAGTCTCTGCTCCCTGACCTAGGAATTCCACTACTCAAAGTCTGGACCTCTGGACAACAGGGGCTCCCTAGCCTTAATACAGAAATTAACCATAGTCACGTCAGCCCCATGAGACCAGGTTGCCAGGAAGATGAGCACCTTGGGCAGTCAGCACAAATGTGTTGTGCAGCTGTCCTCTAAGAGGGGAGAAGGGCTCTGTCCCCTCAGTGACTGTGAGTCTGAACTCCCACACCAGACACAGTCTTGAACTTCAACTACGACATCCATGGGACTTCACCCAGGCATTTAATGTTTGTGTTTTTGTCATTTGACTTGAACAGAAGGAACTCTGACACTGTGACCTCATACGCAAGCCACACAGTGACACTTGGCTGTTCTCTGGAGTTTCCCAGGATCCCTCAAGCTCCCTCCTATCCCCAGAAACAGTCAAGGTCCAGACTCAGTGCTGAGTGCCATGCCCAGCTTGAGCGACTGCAGCCCTGTTGCTTGGGGACACAGCCCACAGCCTCCTGTCAGGTCCCCAAGCTAACATGTGTGGGCTAGTCAGCTCAAGTGTCCCCAGTACCCCCCACACACAGCATACTTACAGTACCCACACCTGGTCCCGCCTTCGAAGATGAATCCATTTGGCACAGCCCCATAGCGGCGGAGATCAGACAGTTTCCACTGCCCCATGACAGCTGGAGGGATGTCTCTGGCCAGGACGAGGATGTCGTTGCAGAGGTGGAGAGTGGCTGGGCCACTCTCCAGCTTGGTACCAGGGGCTACCGTCACATGGAACCTATGCACTGAGGGCCAGACAGTGGACAAAAGGGCATTACCAGGGGTGGCTGAGGTGGGGGAGGAGGAGTATTCCAGGGTCAGGCTGGTGAAGTGCCCTCACAGTCACACAACCAAGGATGAATGATGTAGTGGGCCCCACTTACATCCTGCCCATATTCCAGGATCTTCCTTAGTCAGAGGCAAGCAAGTCCTGAAGGGAATAACCCCTGCCCAGCCCTCCCCAACATTTTAGGGCAGGTCCCATGCACTAAGGCCATTCCTTGGGGAGACCCTTCCCATCAAGGCAGCCAATGTGGTCCAGTTTCAGAGATGGGAAAGCAAAGTTCAGGAGGTCCCATATCAGAGTGTGGAGTAGACTGTGTTTCATCCTGTGTCCACAGTAGGAGGCCATGATCGGCAGGTCTGCCTGAGACTAACATGGCTCAGAGGCAGCTAGATGCTGCCATGGTCCTGTTCACTACTTCAGCTCTGCTCTTTGGCTTGAAAGCCCTTATGGGCACAGCCATAAGTCAGTGCCTTCCTCCCCACTCTCGTAGATCACCGCACTTGAGAAGGCAGCCATGCCTGTGAGCCAGCATCAGCCTGTCTGCCTGCAGTGCCGGTGTGCGGGTCCCCTGCCCACTTCATCCCAGACCCCAGAGCCAGAGGGATCTGAGTAACGATGCCACCTGGTTCTCTTCCAAGCTGTGGCCTTGGTTCTGTCCTTGGCAAACCCACCCTTGGATGTACAGGGGTCTGTTAAACCACACTAGTTTTCCTTTGACATGTATGGAGAGGCCTGGGAAGCTCACCCCTGCCTTACCTGGATGGGGGAGGGGCTGCCACCAAGGTATGACCTGCCACCAGAGAACTCTCTAGAAAGACGAGGGCTTCTGCACTAACACTGCCTGCCCTGTACCTTCACTGCCCCGTCCACGTCACAGCTCTAGGACTGTCCCCCAGGCCCCATTGTTCATGGATGGATAAAAGCAAAGCTCCCATCTCAGCTGCCTAAAATTCAGCTTGTGTGGGCAATGTGTTTTATTTATTCAATTATTGTCATCATCATCGTCGTCGTGTGGTATGTGTGCATTGTGTGTGTGTGCACACATGATGTGTGGGTGCAGATGTACACTTGCCACACGCAGCGTGTCTGTGGAGATCAGAAGACAATTTTGGGGAGTTCTCTCCTTCCACCCTGAGCCTCTGAGGTTCGATCCCAGTGGCTCCCACTGATCCCTATGCATGGGCTCTGGGATGATACAGAACATGTGGGACACAGAGGGTGAGGTCGAGGCTACCCTAGTTAGCTAAGGGTCCTAGTTTTAACGGGGTCATTTTAGGGACTTCAAAGGGCTGTGGCACTGTCTCCTAGCCTGAGCACCCCTGGCTCTTCCACTCTGAGACATCCACCCATTTGCATCTTTCTACAAGACTTCCTGGGGTCTCGTCCATCTTTGCAGCCCACATTGGTGAAGGGCCCTGGGGCTTCACCTCAAACCCTGAACTCACGTCACTTACCTTCGCCCAGTGCGTAGCGGATACGGGTGTCCCACGCACACATGGCCTCATGGCTGTCAAAGCCCAGCATGACAGCCTGGGACAGGCAAATGATGGCCAGAGTGTGGGCCAGGCCCTCATAGGGCAGGGCAGGCTCCAGGCCACAGATGTCCTCCAGGGTGAGGCTGCTGCGCTCCCGCAGACCCTTGGAGCGTTCACACCTGTCCTTGTAGACCAGCATCAGCAGGCAATCTGTCCAGACAGGTGAGAGGCCATCAGGGTGCTGCCTGTACTGTTCACTGCCCCATCCTTACCACTGTCCCTAGAAGGCCACAGCACTGCTGGACAGAGACTGGGGTTCCAGGCTGACCCTGAACAAATGATTTACCCAGCTCAAAAGAGCCACAGGACAAGAGCAAGGCCAGCCTATCTCTGCTCTGAGTACGAGGCCTACCAGGTATTCGTCCCATCAGGATCCCAGGGCCCACTCCGAGCCCCATGCTTCTGGCCCCCTTTTGCCCAGCCTGTGTAATATGGTGAGAGTGTCTAACCTGGCTACAGTGGAGAGTACTGAGCCCATTCCCGGGTCCTTTAGAGCAAAGGTATCTTGGAACTTGGTCCCAAGTGTGTTTCCCATCTGCCTTGGAGTTGTCAATTTGCTATTGCACTGGCCCCCAGGGGTGTCACTCCCCGTGTGGCCTCAGGCAAATCTTCCTGGAGAAGCTGGGTAGTCTGGTACAAGCTCATACCTTCCCCTCTTCTACAGTCACCATCATCCTTAGTCAGAAGGTCCCCCAGGCCCCAAGCCTCCATACCAACAACATCAGGACCCCAGGATGCCTACCTGTTGAGGAGGGTGTAGGCTTATGGGCCTAATGCAAACACCTTTCACGTGAGGCAACTCCAAACATGGTGCCCAATGAATAGATATATTGGGCTTTACCAAAGAGAGGATGGAGAATGCCCCACAAGGAACACAGAGCAAAGCTTCCGACCTCTGAAAGCCAGACATTCCTGCAAACAGCCTCAGCAAACCTATACAACAACCCAAATCCCAACCATGACTCCAGGAGCATCTGGGGGTTTCCTTCCCTATGCAGAGCCTGAAAAGCAGGGCCATGGAGGCTGTTAGCAGCTAGCTTTCCATGACTGCTACGAAGTCTCTTCCTCTGCTACCCATCAGGGTTCTGTAGTGGGCAAGCAGCCAGGCAACATGTTCACCAGTAAGCACAGCTGTGTGCCACTTATCAAACCAAGGAGGTGAAGGCCAGAGGGCCAGGAGCTGGTGTCCAGCCCCAGCTGTTCAGCAAGTGGCTACAGACTACATGAGACCTATCTCCAAAAGCAGCCAGGCCTTCTGCTCCCTCCTGTTTGTGGCCCTCAGTTGCTTCTCCAGTGCCAAGCCTGTGGAATATTCCTTTACATTGTGTGAATATATGTCATTTTAATAGGTTTACTAAAGAATCTGACTGGCATATAGTTAGGCAAGATAAGGTTATGCCAGAGAACCAGACTAAGAGGATGCTGGGAAGGAGAGGATAGGTTCTTGGGAGTTGCAAGGAGGCATGGAGAGAAGAAGCAAGATGAACTTGCCATTCTGAAAAAGGGTACTGCCACATGACAGAGTGGAAATAAGAAATATGGGTTAGTTTAAAATGTAAGAGCTAGTTAGTGACAAGCCTGAGCTATTAGTCGAGCTTTGTAATTAATAATAAGTCTGTGTGGTTATTTGAGAACTGGATGGTAGGGACAGAAAAGTCTGCCTGCTGTCAGGCTCCTCAACGTGATGTGACGGCAATGAGCTCTTAGCCCTCTGAAACTGGATTTACAGTTAAGAGCCTGTCTTGAGTCTTGGTTGAGATGCTAGACTTTGGACTTTTAAACAGTGTTGGGACTGAAAGACAAGGGAGACTTTTGAAGTTGGACTGAATGTATTTTGTATTAAAATATCACCACAAGTCTGTGGGTGTTAGAGAGTGGAGTGTGGTGATTTGAATGAGAATGGCCTCCATAGGCCCAGATGTTTTATTTAGTACTTGGTCTCCAGTTGGTGGGTTAGGTTTCAGAGGGGTGGTCTTGCTGGAGAAAGTATGTCACTAGGGGATGGGCTTTGAGGTTTCAAAAGACACTTGCCATTTAGAGTTAGCCCTCTCTGATTGCTGCTTGTGGATGCAAATGTGAGTTCTCAGCTTCTGCTCCAGCACCATGCCTGCCTGCCTGTCTGCTGACATGCTCTCCACGATGATGGTGACAGACCCTTATCCCTCTGGAACCACAAGCCCTAAATCAACCCTTTCTTCTGCTAAACCAAACTAACAAACAGGGCAGGGCTTCCTCTTACTGTTTGGGAACCTGTGCATTGTTTATAACCATAAAAAATGGGGAATCATTTCCAGTTGGGGGGGCTTGCAGAAATCCATGTGCCACCTCAGGGATTCTGGCTCAGTTTCTCTCAGACACAGGTGAAAAGGGCCTGAGTGACAGCTTCACTGGCACAAAGCAAGAAACTGGGCCCAGGGGGAAGTAAACCCAACAAGACAACAAAAACAGAATGGGTCCCTCAAAAAGCATCCCCAAACATACCTGAGAAATGGAAACCCAGGGGGTCCACAAGGAAATCATGAGAACAATGGGGGGTGAGCATCGCCAAGGCCCTATATGTCCCCAGTATCAGGCTGGCCGGGGCAGAGGACACCCCTCTCCAGCTGTCAACTCATGTCCTAATCTGCAGGACTGCAGGACCCCACCTGTACCAATGCCCTGAGGACCGAATGTGGGCAGGGGTAAACATGCAGTGGATGCTTAATTCATACTCACACATTCCCATACCACTTTCGGCTGCAGCCTGCATGGTTGTCTGCTGAGCTTTGGGAGATGTGGTCAGTGCATATCAATGACCTGGTCCACCATGGCCAAATAGCCCTGGCTCCTTTCACCTCTCGGGTCCTTGGCAGGCAGGACTCAGAGCCCCAGCCCCTCCTCCCCTGAGACAGTAGCATTCAAGCCAATGCCCTGCTTCTGCTGCTGCCTGTTGAGGCTGATTGACCTTGCTACCCACCCAACAGTCATGCTAGCCACCCTGGCCTGGAGCATACACCTTCATACACCTGTCCTTCAGGCCTCGGTGCCGCCATCCGCCATCCTGCTGACCTGCTCAGCTCCCTCCAGTACTCACCTGCAGGCTACCCTCAGGCTAGAAACCCTGACCACTCCCCTCACATCCCACTCCACCTCTGCAGTTCCAGCATCCCCCAGCAGAGCTGCCAAGATAAGCATCTATGTCCTTGTCAAGTTCCTTAAGCTCAAATATATCTTAACCTCTACCTGTGCTAGCATGGAAGAGAGTCCAACATTTATCCAGGAACAGTCTGCTGCTTCAGGGACAGCAGATTGTCACGCCCTTTGTTCAGAAAGCTAATGCTCCCAATGATAGGATCAAGAATGGTGTCAATAAACTTTTCTTTAGAATACCAGACAGTAAATAAATACCTTAGCTTTACAGGGATGGTGGCTTCCATAACAACCACCCAACTCGCTAATCCCACAATGCAGCGCGGGAGGGCTGTAGAGGCTTCTGGGTTGGCTCATCTCTACCCTAGGGTAGAATTTGTTAACAAGTAGTGCTACGTCTGGTGTTTGTTTAGTCTAAAGAGCCACAAGGAAGGACCCCATATTTGGCCCTGAGACCTTGTCCTTAGTGGACTGATACCACCCTCAATCTATCTGACCTCTGGGGACACAAACTTTCAACCTGTGCCCCAGGACACTAAGAGCCAGTGAGCCCCTTATTGCATCTACAGGGCCTGAACAGTGGCCATTTTCAGACTAGGGGCTGTGGGAGACATCAGGGAGAAGATTTAAACTGTTGATTGGGAGACAAGCTCCTCAGGTATCCTGGGGACTCTGACTCATCCTCAGATGAGACAGAAGATGAAGCCTGAGAAAGGCCACATGGACACAGGCAGGGGTGGAGCCATACGGTCTTAAGTCAGGAACATCCAGAGACACTAGGAGCAAGAACAAGGCAGTGAGCATCAGGCCTTGCCATGGCTTAATCTCACTCTTCTTCTGCCCCTAGACCTGCAAAGGGATGAACATCTGATTCTGGAAGCCAGTCTGCAGTGCTCAGGTTTCCTAGTTGCAGTTTTAGGAGGCTAACACAGGTGTCTGCACATTTTCAACAGAAATGGGACAGGGTGACATTCAACATTGCGGGGAGGAGGGTCCTGAATTGGCTGCAGAAGCCACAGCTACCACCAGAGCCCTCAGTCTTTCTCAGTGGCTTCATGAGCCTGTGCATGGAGGCGACTGGACAGGCAGCTGGAAAGGGCTCCCTTGAGGCAGGCCTAAGTGCAAACCAACTGCTCCAGATGCCCTACGCCTATCCTGCTATCCCAATTCTGTCACCCTGTCCCATCTCCTATGAACCTGGACCAATAGAAAGAGACACTGGGACATACCAGCCCACAGCTAACTATCAGCACAGTACTGGTGGTGGGCAGGGCCCTCCTGAGTGTGTGTGTGGGGGGGGGGGGGCTCAGGGATGAGCAAATAAATGATCCCTCGAGGGAACAGTAAGGACAAAAAGCCCACAGGTTTCTAGAGAGACTTGAAGGGCTGGGAGGATAAGAAGACCCAGTCACAGGCAGGTGAGCCAGGAAGGCTTGGTGTCCAGAAGCTAGCCCTAAGAGTACTGAGCCCAGAAGCCTGGCCGAACCTTGGCTACTGAATAGAGAATAGACTCACAGTGACTGCACAGATTCAGAAACTCTTGTCCCATGTGGGACACCTTGGGTCTGAAAGCATAGGAAGAAACAGCCTCAGTGGCAGCTCTCTGAAGCTGCCCCAGTCCCCCAGGCGGGAGCTAAGGGGCTGTCTCTAGGTCGGCAGAAGGACACTGAAGACAAGAAGATGATTCCCAGGATGCGGTGGCCAGAGGATGCCTGGGGAGGGCTTTCAGGGATACGGCTGGGACCAGGGTCTTTCCTAGACGGATGAGGCTAAGAAGCCCATTGGATGCTGACTGGCCATGTGGACAGGCAGCTGGAAGGCGTCTAAAGATGTAAAAATAACCATGGAGTTGTCATGAGCTCACAGAAGCCTTCACAGCCAGGGCTCAGGGCCACGCAGAGGGCAGGAGGGACAGGCAAAGATGAACCCTCTGGGTGGAGGCGCACACCACAGGGAAGACAGTGGTCAATCAGGCCTGGAGGCGACAGGAGGCAGGGAAGTTGGAGCTGGGAGGATGTAGAAGAGAATGGCAGTGCTGTGGGGTGGGTCTACTCCTGGAGGTCACAGTGACCTTGAGGCAGTACCCTCAGAAGAGTGGATAGGAGCAAGCAGCAATCTGGGATCACCCTGACCCTGGGGATGCATGGGGACAAGGTCTGAAGTTTATCTTAGGAAAGATACTGTGTCCACTGTGCCACATAGGCGAGGAAGACTCATGGATAAGAGTGTGTACATCATGGAGCCTCACAGACATGGCGTCCCCAAGAATGTGTGCATCAGAGAGCATTAGGGTCTCAGTGCCGAGGCCCAGGCCCACCTTCTGTCCTCCCCAGCCACCCTCCAAGCAGCTATAGAAGCAGAGTAACCAATCAGGGGCCTGTCTAGAGTGTCCAGCTAAGGACAAAGATACTTAGGGAAGATGTGGCTATCTGGGTCACATAGTGCAAGAGCTGAAGCAAGTCTTGAACCCAGGTATTCAGATTCCTTATGATGGTCCCTCGAAGAGGGATGTCTGGCTGCTATTCTGACCTGTCTTTGGACTTGGGCTGAGGTGTCACCCCATCCCATTGGGAAGGAGGCAAAGGTCTAGATAACCCAATGCCAGAGGTGCCAACTCAGGGTGGGATTAGGTCAACACCCAGGGGATCTCAGTCTTACTGAAACACATCTGCCATCATCAGAGCTACTAACTTCAAGGTCGGGGTTTCCATCTGACATGGGACTCCATCTCCAAGGCTCCCTGTCCCTATGTATGAACTTGAGGCCTCTGCTGTCACCATGGGTACATGGGTGAGATGCTCTGCAGGTAGAGTTTATTGACCCTCGCTGGGACAGTCATTCCCTGGATAACTAAGGATGGTGCTGAGCTTTCAGGAATGGAACAAAGCCCTGGAGAGAGATGGGGCATGAGACCTCCCCCACCTGTGTCTGGACCTTGGCTTCTCTGCCAGGTCCAGGACTTGGGTCCCTCCTGGTGGCTTTCCCAAGGTAGATGAAGCCTCTGACACAGCCCACATGGGAAGCAGCTTACAGGCACCCTCTGAGGATGCTGTCCAGCTGTCTATTACCTCTGCAGAGGACCTTCCATGGACTATCTGGGGCACTCCATCAGGAGACCACACCACCGAGAAAGAAGAAAGGCTCAGTGAGCAGCTGGCAATGGCAGAACCCAGATCGCCCCTCTCCTGAAGGTCCCGTCAAGTGGGGGAACCCAGGCACACCCTTCACCAGGCACAGTCATACTCTACAATCCCACAGAGACAGGCCTGATAGAAAGAACTTCACAGCAGCTGGCCCTTAGGCACACCATGGCCCAGTGGTTGTGCTGGGAGCTACAACTTTTAACATTTTGCTCAACCATCTCCTTCCATGAGCTCCTGCTGCCTACCAGAGATCTAGCACTGTGGAACACACCTCTGATCAAGAATGGTTTTCCCCTTTCTGCCTGCTGAGCCCTTCCTACAGGACAGTCGCTAGTGCTGGCGGTGTACAGAGGGGTGAGGGCATGCGGGCAAAGAAATCTTTGCTCCCCAACCTCCTGGTCCCTCTCAACTACCTCCCATGAGCCACCACAGCAGAAGTCACAGTTTTAAAGCCAAGGATCCCTTGATTTCCTCTCCCTTCCAAACCAGATCAGCAGAGCCCAGATGGCAGGCCCTCAAGGACACAGGTGTCAACCTCCATCTAGAGGGAGGACATGGGTGGGGCAGGGAAGAGCCAGTCTCCAGTGGGATGGGAGAGCCACAGTGGGGTGGCTATGGGCTGTGTAGCTCAGGAAGAGGTCACAAAACACCCAAGAGGCAATGAGAATGCAAGCAGGCTCAGGAGGGACAGGCCCAGAGAGGCAGGGCCACACCCTCCACTCCTGATCACCCTCCAGCCACCTCCTACCCTAACAAATTCCAGCCCAACTTCAGAGCCTCCTCCTGGGACAGCTTGTAATCCAGGTTCCTTTGCCAGTCCCACCCCAGGGCCTCTGGCCTGCTCACTGCCTGGCACAGGAAGCTCTTAGATCCCAACAGTCAGTGAGCACGTCTCAGGATGCTCTTTGGGCTAACATCTATCCCAGGCGCCTCCCCTATGATCCCTCACCAGCCATTCTAGTGTTTTTGCGCATAGGTCAAGTCCATCATGGTCCCACTCTGGGGCCACAGCTCATCAAAGCCTCTTATACTCCCTACGGCCTTTACCTCTCTATAGACCCATACTCCCAATTCTGGCAGCGTCCAGGGCCCCTTCCTCTACCCAGTCTCCAATCTTCCTCTCCCAGACATCCTGGAATCCCAAGGCTAACGACCCCCAGGCTCTGAGCCACAGAGGGTCTGGGCTTGAAGGATTGATGAAGACGCCACCGACAGTCTGTGGAGCGAGAGCCCTTGCAGAGACAGCCGAGGCCAAGGCAAACGGAGACTGAGCACAAAATCAGCTAGTGCATCGTGCCACCCCTCCTGGGAACTGACAGACACCCAGCATCCTGGAAGACACTCAGGCTGCCTGCACATGTGTGAGACTGACACACACACACACACACACACACACACACACACGCCCCCACCCAACTTCCCCTACAGACCCCTGGGTGCCTGGGCCAGCTCCAAGGCACCTGTCCGGAAACAGCTGCAATTCCAGGCTGGAGCTGCCGAACTGCCCTGGCTCCTTGCTGGCCCTCCCCATACCGAGGCCACAGACCCTGCCTGGTACCAGTATCTCTTCCCAGAAGTATGTCTCCCTTAAACAAAGTAGATGTCACTTTTCTGGAACACTTTCTACTCTTGCCCTACCTGAGAGGGTGGGATTGGAGAAGGGTGGCTCTGCCTGGGATGTAGCTTGGCCATTCATGATGCAAACATTTTCACCAGGACACCTATGCCCCCGTGGCACTCTCTGGGATCTGCCCGGTGCTCCAAGGGGAAGCTGAAGCCCCTCTGGGTCTCTGCTGGTCCAGGAAAGGGGTTGGCCCACCCAGGAGCTGAAACCCCGAAACTCCACACTCAAGACTAGATTGGGGCTGTGTTGCGGGTGGCCAGGTCCCAGGGTCCCGGCGCCGGAATGGCTGCAACTCTCCGGTTACCGCCGCGGGGCCGGGTTTCAGCATCTCACCCGCGGCTATTTTAGGCGAGCTGGCACCTTGGCCTCGCGCAGCAGGGCCCGCAGGGTCCCGCCGGCTCGCCGAGACCCGCCGCCCGCCGCCCCGCCCGCCGCCCGGCCGCTCACCTGCCACCGGCGATGGCTTGCGCAGCACCAGCCACCTACTCTTCCACTGCGGAGACAGGACAGCGTGAGTGGCCGCCCGCGCGCTCCCGCCCCGCGCCCCCGCCCCCACCTGCGCGCGCCCCCGCCTACGCCCCCGCGGCGCCCCAACCTTCTTGCCGTCCCGCAGCTTGACCTGGCCCTCCACCAGCGCTGCCTCGGTCATCTTCTGTCATGGTTCCCGCCGCCCGCCGCGCCCTCTCCACGCGCCCCGGGCGCCCGAGCCCAGGGTCACTTTCAAAATAGCTCCGGGAGGGCCCAGGGCTACGCCAGGAGGGCGGGCCCGGCGCGGCGGGCGGGCGGGGCGCGGCGACGACACGGGGACCTGGATGCGGGGGAGACTGGGCGGGGCGCCCCGAGCCCACAATCTTTAAGACCCTGGCAAAGTGCAAGCCAATAGGTGCCAGTGGGTTTGGGCAGCCTGTGCACCCAGCTGCCTGGCACTGCTCCTGTCAGTCCTTCGACCGCTACCCAGGACCACCTGAAGCAATCTCTCAGGGAAAGAGATGCAGCCTGGGGTGGGGGGGGTTGGGGATGGTGGGAGAAGAAATTGGGACAATTTCCCAAAGAGAATGGTAATGGTCCCAAAACAAACCCACAGAAGGCTTTGTGGCCACGCGCCTGCTCATTCTCTGTTGTAATTAGGCTTCAATGGCTTCATCCTTTGCACCTGCCCTTCCCCGGCCTCATGGAGTCATGAGGCACATTCCCCAGTCTCTAGGCCTTCCCCACCCCCAGAGGTAGCCATCCTCTGGGCAGATAGAGGGGCTGGGGGTACCCACTCTTTAGGGCTTGTTCCCTCCTTCCTACTCAACTGAGTACCTGGCAGAACAGACTGTGCAGGCAGCCTCTAGGGCTGGGATTCACTGTCACCTCATTGTCCCATGTCTCCCTGGCTGGTCTCTCCCCTTTCTGAAAGCCAGCTTGCACTAGCCTTGCAGCTTGGAGGGCCTAGGTGGCTATGCTGGAAGACAATAACCTTGCCTAGTAGCCCCCAGCCCATCCTCCATCCTCTGAGCCTCTGGATTTCTGTTCCTCGGCCTGTTGAGCTTTCTACGGCCACCCCAAGTGACTGTAGAGGCTAAGTGCTTTGTCAGGTCTATGTTACAGACTCCCCAGATATAACATCACCTTAAGACCCCAGCAGACAAAGAGCAGCCACAGTTGGAAACTGACTGCATCCAACAAGATCAACTCAGACAAGCAATGAAACCCTGTGCATCTGCCCATTCTGATCCCCAACCCCAAGGAGCTCTGATCCAGGTGGAAAGGGGTTAAGGGCCAAACTGTACCCACTAGTGCAGTATGCTAGTCTTCACTCCATCCTGCACAGACTCCCCAGGCTGCTTCCTATCTGCTCCACACAGAGAAGCTGAGAGTCAGAGTGGTATGAGGACTCATGGCCATGACTGACCCAAGTGCACTGACTCCAGAGCAGTAATAAACCTGGGAGCCCTCACCACAGTCTCTCCAGGAGGAACCTTAAGTGGACCATAAGACTGATTTTAATGTTTTCCTGATGTCTTGCTGGAGCCCGCTGCTTGCACCAGCCTTGGTACTTGGTTTAGGAAGGAGCTCTGTGTGCTCCTCACCCTCCATCACCTGTGCCACACACCAGCGCCTTCCGCAGAGCCCCATTCATACTCCCCACACATCTAAGGCCCCTGGGGACTGGCTCAGGACAGCCGGAATGGAGTCAGTTGGGGGTTGGAGCCATGGCCACATCCTCCAGCCCAGAAGCTTGGCACTTGCTCTTCCCTGCAGGGAGGGGCCACGTCCTGCTGCATTCCAAGCGCTGGCCTTGGCCCAAACTCCAGCCACGCCTGGCAGCTGCACCTGCTCCCACACTGGCCCCGGAAATGCGGGCGCCATGGGGATAGACAGCTTCCTTCTCCCACTCCACATGACCCAGAGGACAGCACTGTGGTCACCAAGGCTACTGAGAGGTCGGAAGAACTATCTGCCCAGTAGAGGAGGAGGTGGTCTGGCCAAGAATTCTGTCAACTTGACCCTCTCCGTGCCTCGGTTTCCCCAGATGTTGCAACCAGAGTTGCTAGAGCTCTACATGATGAAGCTATCTCTGGCCACTGATGCAGCTGACCAGAAGGACGTCAAGCCTCTTGAAGAATCAAGGGGACAGCAGGAAGGAGTGGGGTGACAGGAAGGCACAGTCATATGTGAGACAGGATGACACTCAACCCCACACCCCTGCCTGGCACTACCGAACACTGGACACCACAGGGCTTTGAGGAAGCTTACAGCTGCGATCACAGCTGCACCCCTGTCTGAGCTCACTGGAGTCTGTGGCCAGCTAAACTGCCACTACCACACCCATGACCTCAGGGTGCCACTGTTTCGTCGATGGCTCTGCAGCCAGACCTCTGAGATACTGTACTTGCCACTTACCCGGCAAGGGCATGCGCATTAGCATGTGGCCTGAGCTTCCTGCTGCAATCTGGGTTTGTTACCACTGCCAGGGGTGACTGCATACGCAAGAGGCTCTCAAAGGATGACTTTTTGCACACGGAGAGGGTGGAGCCAGGTGACTGGAAATGCTGGACGGACACACTCCAGCAGGCTACGTATGGCAGGCGCCAAGCCCCATGTCCACCTATGCACATACCCTTATCCCCTGCACAGGGTGAAACTACAGATGACTCTAAGCAGTGGGAAGCGGGGAGAAGTGGCCACCATTCCTGAGCGCAGCCATTAGGCACTCTATGACATCATGCAAACATTTGTCACTAGTCACATGATTTGAGGAAGTGTGTTATGGACTGGACACCCCCCCCCAGCTCCTCAGCCATTTGCTGACATTCTCACCCCATGTGACCATGCAGACACGAAGCCTAGAAGAGTATTTAAGGTAAATGAGATCATACACAGAGGCCCTAATCTTATAGGACAGGTGTCCTTAGAAAATGACAAAGAGATCCCAAAGAGTGCTTTCTCCTCTGCACACAGGAGGAGCCATAGAAGGATCCAGCAAAAAGGCAGCTGTCTATAAGCTGGAAGGACCTGGGAGCTGCATTTGACAGCTGCTTGATCATGGAGGGGGCCAAACAACTTTTTTTTGTAAGGAAATAGGCTTATTTAGTATGCTGCAAAGAAAGAGATGACAGTAGCAGGACAGGAAGACCTAGCTGTCTGCTTAGGTGTCCATTGTTCACATGCTGCTCTGTCAGGGCAACTGCTCTGCTTTAGACCTGGAGTGGTTCCTAAGGCCCGCATGTTAAAGCTTTGGTCCCAGTTCCTGTTGCTTTTGGGAAGTAGCAGGCCCTTTAATAGAAGGAGCCTGGGAAGGGTCTTCAGGGCATGGAAGGACACACCATGAAGGCACCTACAGGGCCCAGGTCATTCCCTTTCTCTTTTGTGTCTCAGCCTTCAAGAGTGGATTGCTTTGCTACGTACATCTGCTGCAGGTTCTAAGGAAACAAGGCCAACCATGGACTTAAAGCTCCAAAACCATGAGCCTCTCTATGTAAGCTGATTAGTTCAGACTATTAATGGCAGCCGCTGAGGCAACTAATGCCAGAGGCAGCAGAGTAAGAAAGTAGCCGTGCTGGGGTTTGAACATGCTCCCCTGTGATCATCCTTTAGAAATGCAATACTCAAATTCCTAAGTCACTAGCATTTGGAGGTGGGGTGGGGTGCATGATCGGTACGATCATGGGAATGGGACTAAAGGCTTTACATGGAGAGGAGATCTATCTCACCCTGTGATAGCCCACACCACATTACACTGCAGCATAAGGCCTCAGTAGCACCCAGCAGATGCCAGTTGGCACCCTCGTGGATGTCCAGACTCCAGAGTATGAGCCAAATGAACCTCTTCATAAATTATCCAGTCTCGGGTATTCCATTATAACAACACAGAATGACCTAAGACGTCTATCTGCATACAGTTCCTTCCTTACACTTACACCGCTTAAAATGTGACCATGCACCATCCCCACACACTAAGAGATGGCCACCTTCTCCACCCTCTAAATCTGGCTTGCTTTGATTGAGGAAAAGCAAAGAAAAGCTCACATCCACTTTCCCTTTTGTAGTATTGCCTCTGTGGTGTGAACAGGCCCAAGCCAACCTGTTGGGTGAAGAGAATCATGGTCCTCTCACCCTGGGCTCCAGCCAACAGCCATCCATTCCTGAGGTATAAAAGCCTGCAACTGATAACTCCATAGTCCACACCATGGCGACCCCAATTCACCCTGCAGAGCTGAGCCCAGATTAGCAGCCTTAAGAACTGTGAACTAAATAAACTTTCTTGTCACCAAGTCCTGAGTTCACTTGTGGTACAGAACAGGCTTTCTGAAATAACCAGTTGTCAGCGGAGGACACCAGACCTGTGGATCTCTGGGACCACTGGAGAGATGAAACCCAAACCCCCGAATCACCATGAGAACCCTATGCAGACAGGAGCCTAGCACACGGAATCAGAATGCAATGAGCTCACCTCCACAAGCATGCCTAGCACTCCAAACCAAGATCAGATAGCACAGAAACCATCGTAGCAGGGAGTAACCTACAAAATAGTAAAACGTACAGCCGGCGGCTCAGTGGGAGCAAAGGAAGCCAGGAGCCAGTGGCATGGCTTCCAGACGACGGCAGAGAGTAACCTCAGATTCAGAGAGCAACAGCTGCAATTCGGTGGTAAAAGAGTCCCATTGCCGTGGCCAAATGGGACCCTCAAAGTCCATGTGCTAGCATGTGATCAAATTGCCATGTTTCTGATATCTGGAAGTAGAAGACAATTGGGGCTAAATTAGGTCACAAGGATGGGGCCCTTTAATGGGATTAGAGGCCAAAAGAAGAGGGAGACCTGAGTCAGCAGCTTGCTGTGTCGCACCATGTTCCATGCTACAATGCAGCACCAGGCTGGCAGACGCCAGCCTCCATTCTTTGTAACTTACTGGTGTCACCATTAGCCTCAGCTGTCAACTTGATACCAATCAGTGTCAGCTGGGAAGACAGAACCTCAAGTGAGAACTGCCCAGAGCAGACTGGCTGGTGACCATGCCTTGCGGCATTTTCATAATCACTAATTGATGCAGGAGCCCCCAGCCCACAGTGGGTGGGGTCAAACCTGGGCAGATGAGCCTGAGCTCGTAGGAAAGTTAGCTGAGCAAGCAAGGGGGACAAGCCAGTCAGCAGTATTCCTTCATGGTTTCTGCTACATTCTCCTGCCTTGGGTTATCTCCTACATCTCAGTGCTGGGTGGCAACCCGAGAAAAATGAAACAAATCCACTCCTTCCCAAGTTGGCATTGGTCAGTGTTTTATCGCAGAGACGGAAAACAACTAGGACAGCAGGTTTCAGT